AGACTCCCCGCCGAGCAGGGAGCCCGATGCGGGACTCGATCCCGGGACTCCAGGATCGTGACCTGAGCAGAAGGCAGTCGCTTAACCAACTGAGCCACCCAGGCGCCCCAAAGGAGAATTTTAAAACAATTTGTAATAAAATGATTTGTGTGTGTAAATATTTGGACATAGTTATACTAGCATTCAGGTGATTGCCCTTCTGTACATTCACCAACAATTCAGTTGGCTACAAATGCAGGCTGTTAAAAGCACATCGTGTCAGAGACTCAAATACCAAGAACAGGCTTTGCCATCGATGGCATGGCTTTCTGAAATGGCATACAGAAGTTCTGAATAAAATGAATTACTGTAGTCTTCCCTCCATTTTATATAAAGTTGCATGCCTAGAGAAATCCGAGTACACTAAACCCGTACAAAAAGTACATTTGTTTATATGGAAAACAGAGTTAGATTATAGGCTCAGCTAATTATAAACTCTTTTCACTTATTTGAATATCTATGGAGACATCTGATAGTTGTGCAGGACTTGGGACTTGTGCCAAGACTATCCCAGGCATTGCAAAAAATCCAGCATCCTGGGCCTCCACCCACCAAATGCCAGAGATGCTTCCCAATCATTGTGACACTCAAAACACTTTTACCTCAGGTGGTCATGGGTGGAGGGGGGGGATTACTACTTCAGCTAAGAACAACTGTAGTGAACAGGAAGCCATCAAAAATATTTCCCCCCAAGTTTTTCTTTGAGCATTTGGGGAAAAAAATGCAGAAAAACAAGGAATAATATATACTCCCATTATTTCCAACACCCAGAATTAACATCTCTAACATTTTGTCTTATCTCCAGTCTTACTTGTAAAGGAAGTACAAAATTAGAGACCTGTGACATGGTGATATAAGAAACACAGGGGCACCTGGCTGGCTCGGTCAGTAGAGCATGTGACTCTTGATCTCCGGCTTGAGTTCAAGCCCCCATGTTGAGGGCAGAGTTTACTTAAAAAAAGAAAGCAATACATACATACACATTTGGTCTTCTTCCCCAGTTATTGGCAGTTTCTAAGACCTCTAATCTCCAGAGTGATGTCTGTATGTTAATGAGGTGACTTGGTGGGCCCCTAGCTAGTTTCAGGATGGGAGGTGATTGCCATAGCAACAGGACCAAAGGCATAATTAGAAGACTATAATTCTCAGCCTCACTCTCCCAACTTTCAGGCTGGGGATAGGGGTTGGAGACTGAGCTAATTACCAACGGCCAATGATTTAATCAATCGTGCTTATGTAATGGGACCTCCATAAAAACCCTAAACAATGGGGTTGAGAGAGCTTCCGGGATGGTGAACACACTAAGGTGTTGATAGGGTGGTTTGCCTTTACCCTGCCTTAATCATCTCTTCCATTTGGCGGTTTCTGAGTGGTATCCTTTATAATAAACCAGGAATAATAAAGTGTTTCCCTAGTTCAGCTCTGTGAGCCATTATAACAAATGACCAAACCTAAGGTCATCATGGGAACTGATTTGTAGCCAAGACAGGCAGAGTGTGGATAACCTGGGGACCTACTACTTGTGATTGGCGTCTTAAGTGGGAGCCAGTCTTGTGAGACTAAGCCTTTAACCTGTGGGGTCTGTGCTAACTCTAGGTAGCTAAGGGCAGAACTGAATTATGGGACTCAGCTGCTGTCTGCAGAGGTGGGAAAATTGTTCTGTGTGGGAAAAACACATTTGGTGTCAGAAGTCTTGTGAATAGAAGAAACAGTTGTCATTTAAGACCCCTTCTACCTCTGCCCTACTCCACCTCACCTCACCCCCAATATAACTACTATGGTGAGTTTGGTGTGTCCTTTCAATCTATTTTTTTTGTACTTTTACAATCATATATATATATAGGATATATATATATATAATCCTATATATATATATATATAAAATCTCCATCTCCACAACATGGAGTTTTCCCCATGGGTTTGTGATACTCTATCATACTCAATTTCTCACATACATGCTGATCTGTTTCTGAGTTTATTATATCACGACAAATGACCTATTCATCTACACCTCATATGCCATACTAAGGAGTCTGGACTTGACTCTACAGGTCAAAGATTCTTAACCTGTTGTCTATAGTTGAGCTTCAGAGGAGATCAAAAGCAAGAGAGTGCTGTAATCAAGTTAGTTCCAAACAGAGGTCTCTGATAACAATCTGGCAGATAAATCTGATGAGGTCAAGACTGGAATCAAGACCTCTAAAAGGCTTCTGCAAAACTATAAGCAAGAAATGATAAGGATTAAACTGATTAAGTAGATGTTTAAATGGTAAAAATTACAAAGACAATTACTTGGTTGGGAGGATACAGGAAGTCTAATAAAACTCATATTATTGGGGCGCCTGGGTGGCTCAGGTCATGATCCCTGGGTCCTGGGATCAAGCCTCACATCAGGCTCCCTGCTCGGTGGGAAGCCTGCTTCTCCCTCTCCCACTCCCCCTGCTTGTATTCCTGCTCTCGCTGTCAAATAAATAAAATCTTAAAAAACAAAAACAAAAAACTCCAATTATTTCTGACTTGATGATAGCATCATTAACTAAAGTAGGGGGAAAAAATAGGTCCTGGAGACAAGAAGGAATGTGGTTAGTGGTAGACATACCAAGTCAGAGAGGACTATAGGATATTCAAGTAGATATGTCAAGCAACTGGGTATAGCTGAAGCCCAAAAGGTCTATCTGGAAGATACAGATTTGGAGGTCAGCAGTAGGCATCAACAGCTGACATCTACTGAGTGCTTATCATATGCCAGACAAAGAAATACTTAATTTGAATTATCTCATTTAATCTTTAAATTAATCTCTTAAATTAGGAACTATTATTTTTTTAATTCCCATTAGACAGAGGTAAACTGAGGAGTTAAAAGTAACTGGCCTACTGCAATATAGCTAGAATGGTAGAGTTGGGATATCAACACTGAGCACTTAACTATTTTCACGTTAAAACAATTGAGTACCTAGAATAATCTAGGAAAAACATACAGAAGGAGAGCAATGGTCTAAGAACAAAACTTTGAAGCACATCAGTGTTTAAAGTGGGCAGAAATTCCCAAAGGAAATCAAAAGGAAAAGTCAAAGACATAGGAGGAAAACAAGATAGTGGTCCCACCCTGTGGCCAAATCAGAACTTCAGTGCAGCTTTGAAACAGCCAGGGAAGGACTGAAATCATCAGTGGGTGTGACACAATAGAGGCCATGTTAACCAGGAGTTTCAACACAATGGTATTGGTGGAAGGAATTTCAAGTCTGTGGAAGTGGCATCACACAGATTTCTTAAATAATCTTGAGTAGTTTGTTTTGGTAGGAGGTGGTGGGCCTTAAGCAAGTCTGTATACTGAGAAGAAAGAAGAGTATGAATTAGAGACAACTAATGGAGCAAGGCCTGGGACTGAAAAGGGTAATGAGGCAAAGACTGCAGTGGAGCTGTTTAGGGGCTCTGCTATGTGCACACGCTGGACAGGAAATCGGTTTAAGTCAAGAAAGGGCTGACAGACTGGAAGAAAATAGAAGGAATCAAGACTTAAATTCTCCAAGTTCTAGGGGCGCCTGGGTGGCTCAGTTGTTAAGTGTCTGCCTTCAGCTCAGGTCATGATCCCAGGGTCCTGGGATCGAGCCCCGCATTGGGGTCCCTGCTTGGTGGGAAGCCTGCTTCTCCCTCTCCCACTCCCCCTGCTTGTGTTCCCTCTCTCGCTGTGTCTGTCAAATAAATAAAATCTTTAAAAAAAAATTCTCCAAGTTCTAGAGCAGAAATCAGAATGTAAGAGAGTATCTCAAAAAGGAATGATGTAGGGGCGCCTGCATGGCTCAGTCGATAAGCATCTGCCTTTGGCTCAGGTCATGTTCCCAGGGTCCTGGGATCAAGCTCCGCATGGGGCTCCCCGATTAGCGGGAAGCCTGCTTCTCCCTCTCCCACTCCCCCTGCTTGTGTTCCCTCTCTAGCTATCTCTCTCCCTGTCAAATAAATAAATAAAATCTTAAAAAAAAAAAAAAAAGAGGGCGGGGGGAGGGTGGAGGCAGAGGAAGGGATGAAAAAAAAGACTGATGTTACACTCTTTTGAAAGTGCACAGGGGAGCTGGGAGAATGGTGACCCTCCCATACAAGAAGTGAGAAAGCAGAGGCCATGGAGTTCTTGGTTAACATACCAAGACAGGATAGGAGTAAAAGGCCTGGTGGTATAGGAAAGCTGGGTTTTTTTAATCACCGAAGAGGGCTTTCAGGTGAAAGGTTTAGGAGTAGAAGGACAAAGGTCAGAGCAGTATGCACATGAAAGCATGAGAGATGACAAATGTCCAAGGGGACTGTTACCTCGGGCGATTAGCAAGAATGAGAATGAAGTCAACTTTCAAGCCTCAAGGTTCAAAATGGAGTAAGTGGCAGCAACAGCTCTCTTCATAGTTGGGTTTTACCTTGAATACACTGTTTTCTTTCAAATCCTCTTCCCAACTCTGCAAAAAGACCTGCAGGTAGATTTCCTGTGCAGTGGCATAGGGAGAAACCAACCCTATGCTAATGCTACACCCACTGAGCCTAAGGAGCTGGACTGCATTACTATAGGCTGCCCAACAACCCTGCCCTTTGGGAACTATGCCTCCTCCACTTTGAGCAGTTTTGATAGGGCTGTTGAACAAGGGCCTCTGCCTTCCTTAACTGAGAGGCACACGTGTGGCCATGAGCGGGCCAGAGTACCCCTTTACCTGGACACAGTAATTGGTCTAGGAATGGTCACTGACCAAAGAAGAGCTGTGGTCGTTACTGAGTCTTTCCAGGGGATTTGTAGAGATGCTGGGACAGTCTTCTGTCTGAGACTATGAGTTGACACTACTACTCCTAAAACTGCATACCCCCACTTCACGGGTGCTAAGAGCTCAAAAGATGGAAATCCAGTCCGTAACTAGAAACTGGTAGTCAAGGCCCCACCTCTGCCTTCCATACCCTATTTAAGTAAACAAAAATACCAAGACACAGACATGGTAAAATATTTAATGTCCACAGGTGTGCCTCATCCTCCCATTCCTGTTGTGATTCCACAGCCACCCCAAACTGGCAGTACCAGAGAAAACAGGGGCACTTTTTCTCAGCAGGATTTGAAAACCATTAAGGCCCTAGTTCTCTTGACTTGGAAATGATTGCAGGTGAGATCATTCCACAGCATGCCTCAGGCCTCTCTGCTCAAGGAGAAAAACCTGCAGTTCTACAGGACTCCTGAGGTCTTCTGTTCTTCTGCAGCCTGGCGCTGGGAGCTGCGCCGCTGGAAATAACGGTAGGCCCGGGCACTGCACAGGTAGCCCCCGTACACAGTGAGGAGCATCATGGAGGTAGAGAAGGTCTTGTAGCCAATGTCAGCTAGTTGCTTGGCAGTTGGCATGTTGTCCCCTACAAAGAGAGACTGGATTTAGACCCAAGAATAAGGCCTCATCTGCCCAGCCCCCTTCTCTTTTTAAGGTCACTCCACTTCTTCTGCATCCTGCTTAGTCTGTCTACACTCTACTCTGAATGGCCCCTACACATATGCCAGATGGAGGGGCACCTGGGTGGCTCAGTCAGTTAAGCGTCTGCTTTCAACTCAGGTAATGATTCCGGGGTCCCGGGATCGAGTCCCTCATCGGGCTCCCCGCTCAGCAGGGAGTCTGCTTCTCCCTCTCCCTCTGCCGTTCCCCTCCACTTGTGCTCTCTGGTGCGCGCTCTGTCAAATAAATAAAATCTAAAAAAAAAAAATTCAGAAAGATAAAGTCTGCAAAGGAGATACAGAAACACAGCTGGAAATAGGTGCATTTGAATGACATTACAGGTAAAACCTGGCCATCTATGTTTGTGAGATAAAGGACTGGTATGAACCACCCAGAAATGTTCTTAATTGATATACAACTATAAGCACACATCAGTTTTTCTGGCTAGTAGGGAATTAATGGGGGTAGTTGGGGATTAAACATTAGCAGTGAATTATTCTCTCTGGGAGGATCAAATGGGAGCCTTCTACACAATAACCAATTTGTTTTCCCATGAAAACAATCTTGTTCGTGGTGGCTAAGTTCCCATGTTAGCCCTCAAGCATCTGTGTAAGCCATAATATACCTGAAATAATGCCAACAGTACATTTATATTATTTCAATTATACTTAACCTTCTATGGCATTAATTCTAAGTTCCAAACATAATACCAAGAACCTATCCCAAGGGTTAAAAAAAAAAACTGAGTCCCCAACAAATTGTTTGCAAAAGACAAATTCTAATTTAGCAGTTCCCTGGATATTCTGAACTAGGGAATAAAATAAAGTTTAAAATGGGACTCTTTCATCCTGAACAAAATGTTCTTCAATGTGTTCTTAGGCTCCTCACTGTTGAGGGAATTGATATTACAAGACTGACTGAGGGCACCTGGGTGGCTCAGTTGTTAAGTGGCTGCCTTTGGCTCAGGTCATGGTCCCAGGGTCCTGGGATCGAGCCCTGCATCGGGCTCCCTGCTCTGCGGGAAGCCTGCTTGTCCCTCTCCCACTCCCCCTGCTTGTGTTCCTGGCTCTCGCTGTGTTTCTGTCAAATAAATAAAAATCTAAAAAAAAAAAGACAAATCAGTGAGAATAGGTTTCTTAAAAGTCAAGAATTTGGAAGAAGAGAAGCTCAGGATTAGCTGGTTTAGGGGGTCAAGAGTAGGGTGAGACACATAAGCGCTTCTCAGAGTGAGTCCTGTTGGCTAAACACTGCTGTTGAGCCATTCCTTAAGAGCGGAACCCAAGCTGAGCTGAGGGACAGCTTCCTTGAATTATATTCCCAAATGACTATAGAAAGTGACATTAAATAAGGTCAGAGGAAGAAAACCAAATGGCACAGGTTGAGGTAAGAAAGAGTTGTGTTTGGGTTCTCTGAGGTTTGAAAGGACCCCAAGCTGTGAGACCGTGAAGAAAACACACAAACACACGCAGAGCAGGACACTAAGGTGGTAAACAAGCTCCCAGCAAAGAGACCTGCAACCTTCAACGTCTTCCTCATTTATTCCTTCTCCACCTACCCCCCCATTACCCTGGCTAGATGCTAACCAGTTATAGGACCACTTCTTCAAGGGGCTGGAGGAAGAAGGCTGGAAGCATTCCTCAGCTAACAAAGTAAAAGGATGGTACACCTTGGCTAGGAGAATGACAGACGACCTACTAACAGATGTAATTTTGGTTTCTAGAACTTCACTTCCGTCTCTTGTCTAATCCCAACGAGAGATTTCTATTTTCACATTAACCAAAACTCTCCACAGGCCCTGAGCTAAGGCAGGGCAGTAGAGAAGGAGAGGACAGATGCAGCAGTTATTTTGGAAGTAGAACAAGATTTATTAACGGAATGGATTAGGGCAAAGCTGAAACATCTCCAAGGTAGCAAATCAGGAAACTCTGTGGATTGGGATACTGTTAATAGGAAAAAGAAATGAAAAGAAATAGGTGTGTATCACTGTGTGTATGGGGGTAGTAGTGGCAATGAGTGGCAGTCAAGATCATCAACTGGGTTTTGGACATGTTAAAATTAAGATGCTCAACCCAACATTCATGTGATGATGTCTTTCAGGGAGATGGATATGCAAATCTGGACAGACCTTGGGAGAGAGGCTAGGCTACAGATAGAAAGAGAGATAATAAGTGCCACCAAAGCAGAGGATAAGACCGGAGAGAGAAGCCAAGGGAATGCTGATATGAAGGAGGAAAATAGTGAAAGAAAGCAGATGGGAAATTTCAGAAACATCTGGGGGGCTTTTTTATTCAACTACATCTCCCCTCCTGGTTGAAAATCACTGCTGTATCAAGGCCCTGCCACTGACAGAGGTGTGCTGTATCCTTCCCACCTGTTGAGCCAGAATGAAAACTGGGAACCATTACTGCAAGTTAAGTGCGATGAACACTAGTCAGATCGGATCACTGGATGGGAAAAGGTGACTAGATCACAGGTAAACACACATTCCTAGGGTAGAAGTCAATTTAGTGTACTGAACTGGAACTGGTATTAAGTAAACGCACAGATTTTTTTTTCTTTAAGGCAGGCTCCACACCCAAAGTGGGCCTCAAACTCACCACGCAAGATCAAGAGTCCCATGCTCTACCGACTGAGCCTGCCAGGCGCCCCAACAAAGCACAGATTCTTAGCTCCAGCAGGCCCACAAACCCCAAGTTTCACATGCCTAGGCATTTTTCTGAGACAGAAACAGATTATTAGAAGGATAACCCCTTCACCTCATAGATAAGAATTCTTGTGATTTTCTGGTTAAGGGAATAGAACTGATAAGGCAGGAGCTTGAGAAGGCAACAAGATCAAGGAAATTCTAGTATGTCTTGCTTATTGGTAAGGAAGATTTGAATGTGCTTTAGAGAAGAAGTTGGTGGCTAAACAGAGGATAAAAGAGGTGGGCAGGATGGAACAAGATCTAGGATGGCCCAGGAAAAGGTGAAATTAGAAGCCCAGGTAGAAGGATTTACCTTGGAAATGAAACTTTTGAGGTTAGCAAAACACTGTCATCTGAGAGACATCAATTTTCTTAAGAAAAAAAAAAAAGTCAATGCTGGGTCTGTTATGGGGTGATGGGGATTAAACTGAAGGTTTCCAAAAACAGGGAAATAAAACGCAAGTACCAGTATGGAAAATTCCATAGGAGTGCAATCTGCAAAGTTCAGGCTCTTCTCTTTTTCGGCTCCCTAAACATGGGAGTACCTCAAGCCTCGGGGTTCTTCTCCTCTGGAAATCATTTTTTTTCTTTTTTTTTAAGGATTTTATTTATTCATTTGAGACAGAGAGACAGAGAGAGAGAGAGAGAGAGAGAGAGAGAGAGAGAGAGAGAGAGAGAAAGAACATGCAGAGGGAGAAGCAGAATCCCCGCTGCGCAGGGAGCCCTACGGGGGTGGGGGGGCAATCAATCCCAAGACCTGGAGATCATGGCCTGAGCCCAAGGCAGACGCTCAACCGACTGAGCCACCCAGGCGCCCCTGGAAATCATTTCCTCAAATGTGTTCCATCCACCTCCGCTTAGATTTACTCATTTATCTGTTTACCTTTTACTCCTGCTATGAAAGCCACAGAGAAGAGAAAGTCTTTTTGTCTCAAAGCAGCTTATAGCTGATGGGGAAAAGCCATAGATCCCTAATTCGGTTACATAACGTAGAAGACGGGCGGCGACCAGAAGAGAAGAAGCGAAGTGAGAGCTCAGGGAAAAGGTGGGGGCTCAAGAAGTTAGCAGTAAGCGGGGGAGGGAGGTGTGGCTGCGTCCTTTAGAAGAGCAGACAGGATTTATACCAGCAGGGAAGAGGGAGAGCATTCCGGGAGCTGAAAGCGGCCAAGGAGTGGAGCTGTCTAATCCATCCGCACGAAGGGTGCCCGGAAGAGCCGCACACCAAGGCGCAAACGACTGTAAGGCAAGGAAGGGTCAGAGCTACTGAAGTCAGAGCTTGGAGGGCCAAGACGCCGCGTTGGAGTCAAGGCTTGACAGGAACCTACGGCTGTCAGGGCTCTGCTGGGCTGGAAGCGGTGCGGCTGGCGGCTCGCGCTCCGCGGCGCAGGATACTCAGGGATCTCAAGGGCACTGAAGGCCGGGGCGTGGGAGGATGGGTAAACAAAGGCCGGCCCGAGACGGGGAGCCTCAGCGGACGCGCGGCCCCTGCGGGGCCCTGGCAACGGCGTACCTGGGTGCTGCCGCTTCCCGGCGTCTAGCCGCGGCCTCGGCCAGCAGCGTCTGGCCGCCACAGCCTGCGCAATTTCCTAGCGCAGCCGGACCGCAGCACGCCGGACCACGTACGCGAGGGTAGCGGCCTTTCCTGGCGGCGCTACGGGCGCGGCAAGCCGGCGTTTCTGCCTCCCACCCGTCCCGCTTACCCTCTAGGACTCAGCTCCCGACGCGAGAGAGGTCAGCGCGCGCCCGAACCAACACAAAGCCGCCCACTGAGGAGGGAGCCTGCGCACGCCGCAGCTCCGCCGGTCGCCGCCTTAGCGCTTCCGGGCCAGTCACCCTTACTACGCATCCTCAGATCGGTCTTCCTCTCGGAGAGGACTGTTGAATTCTGGGGGTTGTAGCCATTCTCCATTGACAGAGGGTCTTTGGTGACTCCAGCTCTAGAACCGGAACTTTTAGGATACTCAGTCACCAGAGAAAAGACGGTCTTTCTCGCCGACTCAGAGTCAGCCAATCCCCAGCCTGGGCGCGGCGACGCCTCCGGGAGCTGGGTAGATTCTGTCGGGGTCAGCCCTCTGGAGGTGGGCCGCGCGCCCCCTAGAGCCCGGAGCTGCCCTCCTCCGCGTGTCCCGCTTCGGCCGAACTCAGGTAGGGAGGGACCTGACGGGCACCGCGAGGCCTGGACCGCCAAGAAGGCGGCAGGTTTGGTCACGGCCACAGAGTGGGTACGAGGGACGAATCTCTAACGTTTCTGGCCCGTGTTGTGAACTCCCCGCTTGCAGGAGGCGCGGTAAAGACCCAAAGACGCGCCGGCATTAGGGTGCCACTTGCGGGGAGAGGGACGGCGTGGGCACCCCTGCCAGGGGCCGGGAGTGGCTGGGATTATCGAGGAGGGATTTCCTTCTTTTCTTCATTTTTCCCTGTGGCATGACTGGAAACATATATGCAGTGATACACCACAGTGATACACCACGAACTGCCGCATGCACTGAAGCGCCCTTCCCCAACTCCCTTCTGGAAAAACCACGGTTTATTGAGTAGACAAGTAGTAGGCTTGATGGGAAGGCCTCAGATTGTTAACTGTGGAGTGAACAAAAGTAGGCAAAGGTGTCGGACTAGCTAACAAGGTTACAGCTGCAGCCGAAGGAAAAGAGCTCTCTGCCCCCACTTTGACCTCCTGGGGAGGCAGCTCTGGATTCAGTCAAAGCCCTAACCTGGGCCCAGCCAAATCTGAGGTGGCCGTGCCCTTCGCTCCCGCAGCCTGATCCAGGCAGCTCTACCCTTCACTGGTAGGACAGTGAATCCTCACGGGCTAGGGCTGAGAAACAGAGCCCACCTCCCTGATTTGGCAGGGAGTAAGAAAGGGTTAACATAATGCTGGCCAGAGCCACAGTGTGCCAGGTGCTGCCACATAAGAAGCTGAGATCCTCTGCTGAACATGGCTGGAGGCTGGCAGGCCCACAGGCCTATTTGTAGCCAGGGGCCCAGGCTGCTGACCTGTGACATTCCCTGGCTGCCAACCCATCCTGGAACAAGGCCAGTTCAAAGCACATTCCCTCCTCCCCTTCCTGTTCTTCCCTCACCACAGTGGGTAGGGTGGTTTTAATTTTTTCCTCCTTGAGTTTCCCAGCTCCTGAGGTGCTGATGGCGTCAATATCTCATGAGAAAGCCTTCAGGTGACAACGGAGGACTGGCCTTGGAATGTCGGGGGTCATCAACAAGGACCTGCTCACCCCTCCCTGCTCCCAATCCCCGATCAGCCTTTGGGCCACTCTCTGGCCCCCTGGCCTCCTGATGCAGGTGCTGGTTAGCTGCCCTGGCTGCTCTGGGGGCAGTTGAGAAACAGGCACAGAGTTTGGGAGGAGGAAAGGGGTGAAGCCCAGGATGTCCTTGGGAAGATAGAAGCAGGAGGGACCCAACTGACACCTCCCCCAGAGAAGGGAGGCGGGGTGAATACAAAGGTCATAGGGAGCTGAGTGATCTGAGCCTGCTATGAAAAGGTGTAGCTGTCAGCAGATTAGTTTCCTGCTCTCCAAAGAGGGTGCTGGCCGGGAGGGCGAGGGAAGGCTTAGAAAGGGCGCGCATGGTGGGGAGGAGCTATCAAGAGCTAGGAAGTCCCTGGGGAGAATGACAAGCCCCAGGGCCAGAGATGCCAGCGTGGCAGCAGCTCTGGTGCCAGGGCAGCCTGGGGGAGGTGGGGAGGAACGACCAGAGGTTTCTGAGGACGCAGATGTTGCTAGGAGAAGCTAGGAGGGGGTTGAGAGCTTTGTATTTTTTTAACAAACACTGAGATCTATTGATGTTGTGTGGGGCCTGGCAGAGGTCAGAGCAAAGGGGTCCCTGAGGCCTGTGTCAGCTCAAAAGCCCAGACCCCTCCTTGGCAGCCCTTGCCTCATTCCTCCTGTGGCTGAGGTACTTATCTTTAGCCATTTAACTGGGCTTGGGGATGGGACTCCTGGTCTGTGTGAGGCAGCAGTGGGTAGCCCTTGCCTCCCTCTCCCTTCATCCCCCACCCCCAACAGACACACCCAAAGCAGACAGCACTGGGGCGTGATTCTACCCTGGAGAGGGACAAGGCAACTCATTTTCTGGTGAGAGGTGGTGGCAAGAGGCTATAGGCTGCTTGATGGTTCAGGATCCCCAGGTAGATAGTTGGGCCCCACAGCCTCCTTATCCTCCAGGAGAAGAGGCTGCTCCATGGAGTGTCCCAGAGATCCTGGTGGCCAGGTACCCCAAGCTGCTGACTGTCTCCATTGGGGTAAAGAAGCTGCCTGGCCTGGGCCCCAGCGCCGTTCACAAGTGTTCTGGATGATTCTGCAAGCAATGGATGAATTCACCTACTGGCTGGCTCTCATAGCATATCCTGTACACAGCCATGAACAGAGGAAACCTAGAACGGGGAAGGAAAGACCCAGCTTAGCCTTCTAGTATACCACTACCCCCCTTTAATCCCACCCACTCCCCCTCCACCTCCTAACCCTCCACTCCCCTGCTCTCCCACCTTTGAGTTCAGGCAGACTCTGGCTCTCAATTTCCAGTTGCTGAGAATTTGAACTTCTAGTCCTGGGTTTAGGGTCAGGTTGTTAATTGCCCTGTTCCCTATCATATTGAACTTGCCTATATGATTCCCTGGGATGAATTCTTTGCTCTAGTTAGGCAAGCCACCTAACGTCGCTAAGCCTCAGTGTCATCAACTGTAAAACGGGACAGACAGAACAAAGTAGTGCAGAAGGGATTATGTATTAAAGTGAAGGTGCTCAATAAATGCATTTCCTTCTTCCCATCCTCTTGCACAGGCTGCTTCCTTTACCTGGGGGCTTTTCCTTGACCAGCCATGAGCTGATCTTCTGAACCTGTTTTACACTCTTACACTAGGATTCTTTCTCAGACCAAGAGAGCTCCGCTCTGATCAGCCCATCACCCCCACTGTGTTTGTGCTCCCTGAAAAGGAGCACCTTGACACAGAGACTGTCCTCCTCACGCCTTAGCACCCAGGAGAGGATTCAGGGTACATAAAGGTTGGCCTCCAGGTAGGGGCTTAGACTGGGGTGGAGGGACAGAGAGGTGGGACAGTCAGTTGAGTTTATTCCTGCTGCCCCAGAGCTCCAGCCCTCATAGCAGAGGACAGGAGGAAACGACAGAAGTGAGGCGTTGAGGTGTCCAAGCAGTGTGGTTAAAGAACACTAGCCTGGAGGTAGTTCAAAGACTATGAACTAGCTGGAGGACAGCAGACAGAGCAGACTCTTTTCACACTCTAGTCTCTTGGTAAACATAGGGTTCCCTCTCCACCTGCTTCACCGATGGAGGAGGGATCAGGAAGGTGAATGTGGAGAGCACTTCTGGCTGTGGTTCCCTTCCCCAGTGGGGCTGGGGCAGACACCTACTTGTCCACCAGGCCCTTGTGCTGGAGGATGCTGTGTAGCTCCCGGGCTGTTGGGGGCCCCTGCAGCTTCTGCCCATTCAGCATCTCTTTCTCCAGCTGCTCAATGGGCTGTGAAGGAAATAGGACGTGTGATGGAAATGGGAGAGGAAGGTTGTTCGTGGGAGGTGGAGTGTCTGGAGCTCGGATGGGAGGTGGGGTCTTAGTAGGAAAGAAAGGCTGGGAATGTTCACAACAGTCTGAATGTTTGTGCTCAAGAGATGCCTCAAGCCAAAGCCCTCTGCTTTGAACCTGTTGGGCCGCCCTCCATTTTCCATTGCCCCAGGGTCCCACCTTTCCTGTGCGGGCGAAGGCTTCTGCCACCTTTCGGTTCCGCCCTCCGTAGCAGGTAGTGATGAGGTCAGCAACACCGCAGCTCTCCAAGAAGGTGGCACAGGACACAGGGCCACTGCAGAAGAGCTTGGCAAAGCTGATCATCTCCATGAGCCCCAGTCGGATCACTGCTGCCTTGGTGTTGTTGCCAAAACCCAGCCCGTCACAGAAGCCAGCGCCCATGGCCACTACATTCTTTGGAGAGTGGAGGTCACAGGTGAGAAAGGATCCCTCCCTGAAGGCCCCTCGGCACCTGCCTCACGCTCCTTCCATGAGCCATGACACGCCACTGAATGAAGTGAAGCACAGTGGGTGGGCTCCTCAACTATTTCCACCTCTTGAGTTTCCCACTTGCTGTACCCCTGGGCTCGTGCTTCCTGGCTCCCCAACCCTGCCCCATACTCCATCCTTGAGAACTTTTCCTAAAAACCAGTCTTCTGTCCAGCTGGCCCTCCCATCCATGACTGTTCTGTTCCATATCCCTGATGTCCTCAGCTCTATCCAAGATCCAGAGCTCTGGCCATCAATCTGCCTGGGTGTCCTGGATGTCTTATCTCCTGTCAGCCCGGGTCCTTCCCCAGGACATCTCCTCCTCCCCCGGGACCACCCACTGGAGGCAGGGATAGGGATGTCCCACAAGGAGCTATGGGAAGAAAGGAAGAAGGAGGTCCAATGTTTGATAGTGAATAACTGGCAGGCCTGAATGACCCTGACCTTCCTGCTACAGTTCTTCGTGTGTGTGTGTGTGTGTGTCGGGGGGGGGGGGACTTGATGGGGAAGGGGAGCAATTGCCCAAGAGTGAGAGCCCGGAGTACCAGCAACCTTGTAGAGCTAAGCCAGGCCCTCCTTCAGGGCCTTCTCCCGACCCCATAGCTGCCTCTGCACCCCTCTCACCTTTAAGGCCCCACAGATCTCTACTGTATCCACCTCTTGCACCACTGTGATGCGGAAATTGCGTGTCTGCATCAGCTTTTTCAGAAGCTGTCCTTGGGTCTGGTCCTTGCAGCCTAAAGTGGGAAGGCGGCAAGGCTTTAAAAGGGGATTCTTGACTCTTCCCACACCTGCCCTAAGCAGGACCTGCAACCCTTTCCCTGGGGGGGGGCGGTGTCCCAGTCCTCCCTCACCTCTGGTGCTTGGGACGCCTGATTAATGGGGAGAAGATGGCTAAATGGCGGGGAGGGGAGTACAGAGGGGACGTATGCTGCACTGTGTATGTAGGTGACGACAGGGCTCTCACCAATGGTGGTCTCACAGAACTTCTCATCAGCCACCTCGCTGGCAATGTTGGCCCCCATCAGCACACTCATGGGGAGGCCAAGGTGCTCCCCAATCACTTCGGAGATGAGCTTCAGCCCGTGAGGGCCCTCGTCTACCCCCTGGGCACAGGATGGAGCTCAGGCCAGGTGTCCTTTATGCCCAACTGAGGGCTTCCCACCCAGAAATCCTGCCCCTTCCAAATCCACTGTTATCAGTGTCTGTCCCCAAAGGCCCTGCCCCATTCCAACCCAGCCAGGGCTTGCTGTGAGGATGGTAGATCGCACGTGAAAACGAATCCTTTTGAAAATTCTCCTTCCATATACCTTTAATCAACCTACCTCTCCAAGGCGGTGTATCCCCTCCACATCCCTAAACAACCCCCCACAGAGTACCCCAAACCAGCTTCCATCCCAGATACTGCTCCAAACCAGCCCACTTCTCATATCCCCAGACATCCCTTGTATGCCTCCTAAATTCAAGACATCGGCCTCCAACCCGATCTCTTAACTACTCCCCAACCAGCCTCCCCTCCCCAGTGGTCCCCAGCACCTATTTCTCAGCCTCCCCAAAGCGACTCCTCCCCTCTCTCCAAAAAACTCTTGGCCTTCTTCTGCCATTTTCTGTTCTCCTGTCTTCCCCCACCCTGACCCCACAGCAGTTAGCTGCACCCCCCATCCACATGAAGATGTTCCTGGCACCTTAATAAGAGATACACCAATGGCGTTTGCCTTCAGGTGGCCCTTGAGCTGATCACAAATCTTGCCGATGAACTGATGAGGCACCACAAAGATCAGGATGTCAGCATCTGCTGCAGCCTGGACCACGTCTGGGACAGCCACCTGTGGGGGTGACCAGTGCTCATGGGCTTTCACAGACTTCTAGCCTCTGTGGAAGCCCGTTCAGGAGATCTAGGAGCTAAAGAGTGAGGCTGGTGGGGGGAGAAGGAAGGGCAGTTGGGGGACTGAATCTGGAAGGGCTGAACCTGGAGGAATGAAACCGTCTTCCCTCCCCCTCACCATCATCCCTCTCCCGCCAACTGCCTAGGGCTCTTGAGGACTCCTGGGAACTCCACTCAGTACTCTTCTAGCCCTTGGCTGTGGGACAGTGAGGGAGGCCACAGGAGCCCTAAGCTTGGCAGGAGGAAGAGGCCAAGAAAGATATCACCCGGCTTCTTAGGGCCCCCAACTGGGAAGGGAAAGCTCTCCCTGCTGTCTTCCCTGCTCCCCCTCTCCAGGTTGGGAGCAAGCCACATGGATTTGACCAGGGACCTTAAGTCCAAGGAACAGCCTCCAACTCAGCTAATAGCCCAGTGAATAAGTAACAGGATTAGAGCCTGAGGCAGGTGCTACCCAGACCCCCCCCCCATCTTTGGTTGCCATGAGAACCAACTTCCTTGTTCCCCCTCCCTTACTGCCTGGAAGCCCATAAGTGTATGGGGTGGGTGGAGATGGGTTCAAGTTCTCCTCAGTTCTAGAAAGTCCTGGGAGAGCACTTTGGGGGTTGTGCATAGGGGTGCCCTGTGTCCACAGCAGCCGTCCCAAGACGCTTCCTAAGTCCAGGTAGCAGCTGAAATGGCCCCCTCTCAGCAGGAAGCACCCCTCCACTTCCCTCTCCCTTCCTTGCAGGGTTTTGGGGCTCACCACGTTGGGGGGCAGCTTGTGCCCTGGCAGGTATTTGACGTTCTCATGCTGCGTGTTGATGATCTCTGTCAGCTTTCTCCCCCCGATGTCTTCCTCAAACACCCACATGGTCACCCGGGGGTCAAAGTGTGACAGCTGGGCTGCATTGCCTCCCACAATCTTGGCAATAGCTGAGCCCCTGGTGGGAGGGGGAGGACAGAAAGTAGAAGAGTCAGGGCATGAGGGAGGAATGGGGGCAGGGGAGGAGGCACAGGGTGGCAGTGAGGGGACAGCACAGCAGCCCACCAGAGGATTTCCTTGCCATCTTCCTTGTGAGCCCCCACCATCATGAAAGTGTGTCCCTGGCAGTAGAAAGGAGACTCAGTCTACCTTACACTTTGCAGCTGGAGAAGGGAGCCAGCCTTCTGATCTCCCCAAACCCCGCGCCCAAGCAGCTTTTAGGCAGGGAGCACTCTGGAAACTCCCTTCCTGTGGCAAACAGGTGCAGCTGCCCAGGCAGGCAAGGACCCAAAAGGTTTGGGCACCATCTGCCCTGTGGGGGTAGGCACAGAAGAAAGCACGGGTGGAAAGAAATTGGAGGGCACTTCCTACCCACCGCCTGCCTCCTGCCTCTCGCCCTAGCCTTGGGTTGGAGTTCCCCCAAGAACCCCACCCCACCCCCACGTACTCCTTGACAGAGCCACTTACCAGTTGCCGGAGCCTACAATGCAGACTTTCTTGCCAGCCATGGTGCCACTTCTCTAACTGATCCAGCTCAGTGCTCCACTCCCCAGCTCCTCTGCCGACTAGGAGCATATAACTCCGCCACGCGTGGGTGCAGCCAAGTCCCGCCCTCCAGGGGCGGGTTGGGAGGCGGGTACCGAGGGAGACAGGGACTCTGGCGAAGCCAGGCAAAGGGGAGAAAAGGGTAGAGACAGGTGGTGAACAGGAATGGGGCAGAGTCCAGGCCCCTCTTCCTTTTAGGTTTGCCAGCTGATGGTGCTAATGAGCTTCTTCCCTTGGCCCCAGCCCCCCCTCCCTGTAATGGTCTCGTTCTGAGGTCTGCCAAGAAATAGCCCAGATGAGGAGCAAGTGACTGCCCCCCCCTTCCCTTCTGTCCCCCAGCACTGAAATAAATTGTATTCAGTCCTAGTAGCAGATGCAGGAATACTTTCTTTTCTAAGGTAGGAATCACCCCGCATAGCATCTTAGGAACCCAAAATCTCCTCTACAGGTTTGTCCTCTAGCAGTGACAAAGACTTTATGTCCCTGGCCCCACGCTAGCTCTACCACAGGGCTGTGTGTGAGGTGGGCGGGTGTGGGCTCACTTTTGAAGACCACATCAGAGCTAAGGGCCTGCTTTGGGGGCATCCCAGCCCAAGGATAAGAGACCCCAGGAGCTCCGAGGGAAAAGGTCATCTGTTACGCACAGTGGTCATCTCAGGGACTCCCCCTTGGGCTTCTCTCACCTCAAAGGATCCTCACCTGAATGTCTTCCAGGAAGAGAAGGTGGGAAACGCCAGAGTTAGAAGCTCTGATGCCAAGCAGATTCTCTGGGCTTGAAGAGGACAGGAGAGCAAAGACGGTGGCTAAAGCGTGCACTGTTCTTGAGAGGCTTTGAGCTTCCTTCAGTTCTTTCTTGGGTTTCCCAGCTACCACACTAGGGGCTCCCTCAAGTTAGTGGCTGGCTTGCAAGAAGCCAGCAAGGGGAAGGGAGGCAGCACCTGGGGCAGCCATTAACTTCTGTGGCGCTCTGTGTTCCTAGATCCTGTAATTGAGAGTAAGTGGGGTGTGTGATTTGGGACATGGGAAGAGGCTGGAAAGAACACACTGAGCAGTCCGGGACTCTGCATCACCCAAAGCCACCGGTTTGACAAGGAAGAGAAGCAGCTCTGGTTCCTAGACTGATCTGGAGTGAGGCAAATGCCCCTATGCAGCTGCTGCCTGTGCACCCTGGCCTAGAGGGCGGACACCAGCGTCTGCCCACGTGCAGACCTCCTGGCTTGGCAGAGTGCTGAGTGGGCGTTTTCACCCCCTGGGGCCCCTGCTGGCCAGCAACAGCAGTGAGCACCAGGCCAGAGAGGAGTCTGGGTGCAACCACCGAGTAAGGGTAAATGGGCCCGAGGGCAAGACTGTGGGGAGGTTTTTCTAAGTTCTAGGGACTGCCCAGGAGGGGCCCACCATATTCCCCTCCCACAGCCAGGGAGTTCCTCTCATCGGGGAACATACATGAAGTTGCTAGTTGATGGTTTTCCTTAGGAGTGAAACTGCACCTGCTACAGAGCCAGCCTCCATTGCTGCGCTGGCACCGAGACAAAGGACCAATGCCAAGTGCCATTCTGGGTGACGCAAGAGAAAGAACTCTTTTGTCCCTGGCACGTATGGCGGGACCCCCAGAGAATGGATGTTTATGCATAAAATAACCCCCTGGTTTTTTGCCTGAATTCTCCCATCTCTCATTTTGCCCTTAAAATCATCTTCAGTAGTATGGAGACAACGAATTTGTGCATTTATATAGGAATACAGAGTGTGCAGATTTAGCACTGGCTCGTTACAGGAGCTCTCTGTACTACTAGAGCTCCTTCCCCCAGAGCGAGCTGTAGACTAGCTGCTTGAAATTAACAGTGGCTCGCCAGCCATTCATTACACATGGAATTACCCTGCGTAAAAACAGATGCCATTTCAGTGTCCTTGACATCAGTTTTTTCCACTCCAAGTTATCAACCCCACACATTCTTCTTTTCCCTAAAGTCTGATAAACCCCAAGTTCCAAACTGGGACCAAGTTGTAACCTGGGTGGGTTTGATTGCATGGAAGGCACTACCTGGATGTTCCCACCCGTGAAGTCAAAGGATAATTTTTTTTACTGCAAGTTTGGAATGTGGTCACATTCACCCTACATTCTGAACCCCCTTCTTGGGTAGAACCAAACAAGATAGTGGCACCAAGGAGGCAAGTATGAGCCACCGGGTGAGAAGCAAGCACACTATGATGGGAATGCAGAATTTCATGCTTCTGCTAACAGATCAATCCAGAGGGGCAGGTTATCTGTAGCCATGAGGAGCACAATACAGCACGTCCAGGCCAGTCTTAATAACTGAAATCTCTCAGGGCCGTGAAAGTGGAACCTTAAAAGGACCGGCAGGCAGAGGCACACACTTCTGCTGTGCAGGCCCTCGCTAGCTAGGAGGCGAGTTCAGGATCAGAAAGCCTAAGGAACCGCAGGCGCCCCCCGGGCAGTGCTCTGGAGCCAGCAGGTGCCACAGGGAGCTCAGCAGGGTGAGGGAGATCGCAGTGCTACTGTCTTGTAGCACCTCCCTACCCAGAGCTGGGGGCAGGACTCTCAGACCCAGTGAGGAAGCCCAATAATCCCAACCAGTACCCGGCCTTGCTTGGAGCACTGGGCTGACAGAAGCAGCTCTCAGGTGAGAACCTGAGGTCCACAGGGTAGAACCCTTGTTTTCCACCCTATCTCTAGTGCCTAGCACCACAACTAGCACACAGCAGGCGCTCAAGAAATATTTGTTATTTAAATAAAATGAACAGACACCATGAGCATGGCTAATGGTATCAGAGAAAGAGCTCAGGGAAGAGCTCTCCCTCAATAGGTAGGGGGACCCATCCTTCAGAAGATTCTTTTATTAAAACTGGGTGACGTCGGTAAGGGGACAGTACAAAAAAAATTTTGGTCCATGAAAAAAACATAATAATTCAGTTAATAAAAACAGTTATCTTGAACAGGGACACTGTGTAGGAGTGCTGAACTTCCTTCTCATGGTTCCAGCCCCAAGGACAGAGGTTGTCCAGTGTCTGTGGGGAGAACCTTTTAAGGGAGGGATGGGATAATGGGAGGAAGGGGAAGATGGGGAGAAAATTCTGTCCCCGGTGTGGAAGAGGCAGGGATATGGGGCTGGAGGATGTGCTCGCAGGAGCCTGAGGAGGGGGTGGGGAAGCAGGGGCTTTTGTCAGTTCTGTGGGTTTAGAGCCCAGGCTGAACGGAATTCCCCCTCTGTGCCCAGCTGTCTCCCACCCTGCTATGTTGAGTCTGCGAGCCTGGGATATGCTAACTTGGGGTGATACAACCTGGAAGAAGAATCTGAGGCTCTCCTGGAAAGATGCAAAACCATCTCAGTTCCAAGGGGCCAAGATCACAAGGTCCTGCTGCTACCTGAGGGGTCTGAAGCTTTGAGGGCAGGGGCTTGGGGAGTCACAATCCTGTGAGGCAGGGAGAGGGAAGAGTCACAAACCCAACTCAGAGCTATTCGCCAGCCCTAGGCGCTTTCACTCCTCAGTGCCCTAGAAGTCACCAGTGGGTGTCAACTGGGCAGACAAGGGACAGGAAGACAGGGATGGCCCAGGGCTTTTACCCGTTTGATTTCAGGCCTGTTTCTCCATGAAGGGATAGGGGAGGCAGGGTGGAGTGAATAAATGAGTCACACCTCCAAGCAACAGCAGGTAGGAACGGCCTCTGCTGGCAATGACAATACCCCAGGTTAGATCCCTGGGGCTCTGACAGAGAAAGGCAAGATTCCCCCACCCAAATGCCCTGCATTAGGACAGCTTGAGAGCAGGGGATCCCAAAGACAGCAGCTACAGGGAGTGTGCTGGGAGGGAGCACTAGTTAAACTCCAATACTGATGTGGACCCCCTACGAGGGAGTAAGAGAAGCACTGAGACAGCAGGCCAATCCAGAGGGCTGCGGACTGACCTGGGGCTCAGTGGGGCCCAAGAACCAGGGTTCCTTTAGTGCTAGAGGGCAACAAGTAAAGGGAGAGTGTGCTCCAAACCTGTGGAGGGAAGGAAGGAAATTGGATTCTGTTATCCGGAGAGCCAAGATCAACTAGCTTATAGAGTGCCCCCAGGCCTGAGTCTCAGAGAAGGGGCTAAAGTTCCCAACTCCTGGGTCTCTGAAGGGCAGGTTCAGTGTAGCCGGTCCCCTTGAAGACCACCTGGCCTTAGGCCCAATCCATTCAATGCACTGATTACCACTACAGGTTCTCTCTCTAATACTATCTAGAGGTCCTATGTAGACCAGGGGAGGGTAGAGGCACATGGGAACTTTGTGGGGCAAAGGGAAGCTGGGGGACAGGAAGGGATGGGGTGGGAGAAGAGAGTGACAGGTGTCCTGTGAGACAGAAATGTGAGACCCTCTTCATTCTGGTGTTGTCCTTGAACCAACAGCATCCCCTGGAAGGCCCCAAGCAAGACCAAGGCAGGTGCTATGAGGCAGGCAGCACAGGGCCCAAATACGAATCGGTGCAGCCAAATCAGGGCTGTGGGAGAGGCCCTATGTATTTCGGATTCCCAAGGCTTGCTCTAATTCTTGTCGTCTCTGCTGCACCTAGTGAGAAAATAGTGGAGGGAGCAGAAGATGAGACAAACCAGAAGCTGGCACCTCATACCGCTGACCCCCATGTGGGGTTCAGACCCCTTGCTTTTTGTCAGTTTCCCAGGCCCAGGCTCCTACCTTGGAGTAGAAGTATCGGCACACAGCCTCCTGAGCCCAAGGCTGGAAGTAAAACTCAGCTCGGCGCTCTTCCTCTGGGTTACCCACCACATCAGTCATGGTCTGGGGGATATGGGAGGGGGAAGAGAGAGAATAAACTTGTCTCCCTCCTTCACACCTGTTATGGACTGAATTGTATCCCCCCAAAAGATGTCAAAAATCCTAACCCCCCAGTACCTGTGAATGTGACCTTATTTGGAAATAGGGTCTCTGCAGATGATCAAGTTAAGATGAGGTCATTAGGGTGGGCCTAATCCAACATGACTGGTATCCTTATAAAAAGGGGGAACTTGGACACAGAGACAGACATGCACAGAGGGAAGACGATGTGAAGACACTTGGAGAACACCATCTGCAAACCAAGGAATGCCTGAGGCTACCACAAGCTAGGGGAGCGCCTGGAACAGATTCTCCCTCACAGCCCTCAGAAGCAGCCAACCCTGCCAACACTGATTTCAGAATGCCAGCCTCCAGATAAAAATAAATTTTTGTTTAAGGCACTCAGTTTGTGGACTTTACTATGGCAGCCCTCGCAAACTACTAATACAACGACCGAAGTCATCCCTTGCTATCAATAAGTCTATTGCTTTTTTCAGGGACCCTTTCTGGCACCCCTCATCCCTCGCTCTTCTGCTCGGCCTCTGTAATTAGTCAGAGTCACCTTTCACGGGAAAGGAGGAAACTGCGGGCACATTTCACTCGTTCAATGCTCACCCCCCCTTCCTTGCCTGAGCTTGTGGTGCTCCCCTCTCTGAGAAACACCTCAGATCCCACCTTCACCATGGGGCGTTCCCCAGCTATCCCAGCCTCACCTACCTCCCTTCTCCTCTGAATTATCGCAGTGGTAGTGGTGAGTTCCCATCATGACATACGTGGTTTACAACTTTTTTGTATCGGATCAGTCGGTTCCCTTCCCCCCAAAAGAAAATAACCTGGTCTGAAACAATCCTTTCTTTGCTTCTGCTAATAACTTCCTTGCTCCTCCCCCCACGCCTGTCTATCAAAACCTTCCATTCTGTACAACTCCTCAGAGGGCCTATTTACTGGAAGGGATGTTGCCTAATTCATGAATCATTTGAATAAGATCAATTAGATCTTCACATTTTAAATAAATAAATAAATGCATAAATCCTATTAGCCTAGTTTCTCCAAACAGAATGCAGGTTGCTCTGAAAGCAGAGATTCAGGTTTGCACTCCATATCCCCTACCATATGGTACACGGTGACACCTCACAGTAAGGACTGGATAAACACTGATGGCTCCACCTCATATCCCGACTCATTAGAAAACCGACTCGAGAGCAGGCTAAAGAAAATCTGGTCCTTCACTTCCCCTTCTGGCTCTTCTACCAGATGCTACAGAAACAAAGCAAAAGTGTGCCTCACTGACCTAAGGCCCTATGCACCTTTCCTAGTTCTTTACCTTGAGGTCCCGGCACTGGGACTGTAGCCAATCATTGATGAAACCCTGAGGGTCTCTGGCGAAGCTCAGCATGAACTCCCGCTGGGTCTTCAGCTGATTGATAGTTTCTATTGTCTCATGAATCTGAAAGGAAGGACCTCCCAACATTTCAGACTGGGAAATGCAAAGTTACACGGCAGACAGTGCGTGCCACTCCCAAGGCAGACAGTGCGTGCCACTCCCAACTGAGGCCCGGAGTACTGCACCGAGCCCCAACTCGTGCTGCCCAGCGCTCGGCATTCTTTCAGCAGGTATGGCACAGTGTCACACACCCCACATGGCCGAAGTTTTCCTTCTGGTCTCTACAACGTCCACCACGGGGGAAGCCGCATGGCAAATAATCCACAGCACAAATAGGTGCAAAAACACTCTGAGGTGGGAGCAGTGGTACAGACTGCTGGCTCAAAACCTGTGCTCCGGAGGTCTGTTCCTGCCCTCCCCTCATCAACCATACTCGTCCTGGCAACTTCCTTCACTGACAGGTTCGTGAGTCCTCAGTCTTCAGACCAGTCCATTTTCTAAACTCCAACCACTCCATCTGTTTGGACATCTCAGGGCATCTGAAACTCTCCAAAACGAAATTCACTACCTTTCCCCCAATACTCACTTCTGTTCTCCTGTTGCCAATCTGGATGAATACTACCATGCATCCAAGCTAAAACCCTGGGAGTCATAATGCCCCCTTCTCCCTCAAGCGGCTCCCAGCCATCCAAATCTCTTCAGTTCCACTTTGACACCTCTCAGATCTACTTCTTTTCATCCTTACCGTCAGTACCACAGGTTTAGGCCTCCACACGTCTCCCGTGCGTTACTGCACTGACCTCCTATCTGGGCTTCTGGCCTCCAAATCCGCCCCTCTTAGAACTCACTTTCCTGCCAGGGATCATTCTAAATGCAAACAGCATCACTGCCTCCAGTCTTCGGGACGAAATAGAAACCAGTTTCCCTGTATCAAAGCTTCTTCATGGTTAGGCTCCTGCTTCCCTGTCTAGTTTCATTTCCCGAAACTTCCCATCCCTGGCACCCTGAAATAGATCTAGCACATTAAACGGCTTGTACTTCTTGAACATACTTCTCTCATTTTTACATACCCTGTTCTCTCTTTTTGCAATGTCCTCTGCCTCCCACACCCCTAAGCACTACCCCTTCTCCTCTTTCATTACTCTCACTTTGTCCTTCAAGATTTAGTTGGGGCACCAACTCTTCCAGGAAAGCCTCCCTGTTCTTTGCGTTCCTTCGAGCATTTTCTGGCTTTACCTGCGTGGACTATGCCTAACCAAGATAACAGCAGAAATAGCAGCAGTTATTGTTTTCATGTGCCAGATACCGTGTCTTTACATACATCGTCTCATTGAATCCTCACAACAACCTTAAAAAAAAGTAATAGTCTCTATTTCATAGTTCAAAAACTAAGGCTCCAAGCTCTTCAAAGTTATGGCCAGAATCCTAGCATCCAGCTCCAACTGGCACCTGTGCTGGCATATACTAGGTATGTCGAGAATCAAAAGACAGCCTATGAGCTGTGGCAGAGGGCTGGTGGCACCCAAGCTAACCAAGGCAGGGCCCCCTACCTTGTTGTCTAGAGTAGCAATCTCCTGCTGGCTGGCAGTCGACAGCAGGAAAGAATTCATCTGGGTCTTCAAAGTATCATCCACTTCCACATCGATGTCATAACAAGCGGTCTTTTTCTGATCATTTGGGTCAACACTGGGGAGGAAACCAAAAGGGCCTGGTAAAGGGCTTGTCCCCTAAGCCCTATTTACACAAGGATCCAGAAGAAGGCCCAAGAATGAAGGTAAGGGGTCAATTGCAAAAAGGCACAAGAGAACTTCTGCATATAACAGAAACTTCCTGTACGTTCCTTCTGATGGTAGCTACGTGGTGTTACATTTGACAAAGTCTCAAACTATACTTCAAGTGTGTGTGACCTACTGTATATAAACCCCAACAAAGCTACTGTGTTTTTTTAAATCAGTGATAAAAATTCAAATGGTCCAAAAGATATCCAGTGAAAATGAAGTTTCTCTCCCTCCCCAAAGGAAAACTACCACTGTAGTATCTTATATACCTTTCTCCCTGTTAAACTAAAATTGACCCTGAAAATAAATTCAAATAAAACACACACCATACAAAAAAAGAGTAAAAAGTGGCTTAACTTTAAGCACAGGGCAGATCAGTTATTAACAATCCAACATATAAATCATAGGAGTTACTGTTGGCTGAGTGACAGTTCAGGACATAAAGGAAGGAAAGCCTTATTGGAATTAACACGGAGTAAGGGAAAGAAGGCAAAGAGACTGTAGCCAGCCACCTGCTGCTCTGAGGAGGGGGAAGGGCATTCCTTCACTCCATATCCAGTAAGACGCCTTGCCCATCCATCTTCTGAATGGAACAGTGAAAGGAGATAATGGAACTGTGGAGTCTCAGGCTGGATGTTTTAACATCCACAAAAGAGATGGGAGCCCGTCCATGATGGGCTGGTAAACGTCTAACAACTGATTCTCCAAAAGAGGAGGGAAAAAAAAGCCAATTTGGAGCATTTGCTGATTTCTGTGGTTTAAATATTCCCAACGTGGCTGGGTTCAAGCTGCCAATGTTATGTCACTGATCACGGAGCTGTGATGAGATGTTCAGTAACACGTCATAACACATTATACCACTTTACTTTTCTGAAAGACCTATGTAAGTTTTTCCGAGGAGGATCTTCCTGTTTACAAGAACAGGCGAGAAGCAAAACCAGCGCTCAGCACTGGTGTTGCAGCAGCATCCCAGAGGCAGCACGCACCCCGAGCAGCAAGGGGCGCACCCCGAGCAGCTTCTCTGGGAGAACCACAGCCATCATCTCAGCAGCAAGCCGCCAGGGCTGTGACTTGTGTCTGTGAGCACATGGACTTTGTTTCTATTTATTTTGTGCGAAAGAGGTCCTTTTGGGGGTCTGGGACGCTCAAAAATGTTTCCACGTAAATTAAAGGTAATTGCTTTGTTGCTTTATGCCACTTTAGCTTGCGAGAAAGTCTTCACAGGAACTCTCTACTCTTGGACAGCAGGAGAAACGGACTGCTATTTCCACTATACATACGCAGCAGACGTAAGTAACCTCACAAACAGAAATACTAGTAAGATGTAATAAAACAATTAAGAAATAATGAGTTTGGGGGTGTATGTTACCCTCCTTTTCACTAAACTGTGAATTTAAAGAATTTACATCACTGCTATTTGACAACCTGCTTCCTGAAAATCGGATAACTGGTTGGTGAAAGTCGGTGTCGGCCCACTGCAGCACACTGCCGCCTCTCCGACGCGCGCTCACCTGATGACATGATTAATGATGATGGGCTCTGGTGGCATAAGCAAGGCATGCAGCCGTTGAGGGATCTCTGAAAACTTCATACGTTGAGACTCGAAGATCTGTGTGAAAGAGGAAAAAGGCAGCTAAGAAGTGGGCATTTTGGGCACACCTAGTGCTCCACTGGACTCTGGCAAACGAACGGGTCCTTCTCTTACCTGCTGGAGGTACTTGTCACAGATGACAAACTCCCGCTCGTGAGGGTCCTGGAGCTTATGTGTCTTAATATATTGCCACAGTGCTTGGATGATCACTGGACGGGTCTGGGTGTGGATGCCCAGGAGCCGAGCCAGGCGAGGGTCTAATTTAAACTGGGGAGGCTGCAGAGAACCAAAGAGGACAGGGATGAAGCTAGTGAGCTGGGTCTATATGCATTTTGGGGTGCTTTAGCGTGGCCACACATTCAAGCCATTCAACAAGCATTAATGTAGTGCTTTCTCTGGGGCCAAAAAACACTAGAAGGAACTTAGAGGTGACTAAGCCCCTCTGCTTATATTTAGGGAGTTTATCGTCTGGTGACAAATCACCCGCAACTACACTTAAACCTCTGAGTATCAGGCTGCTGATGGGAGGTGGCTGTGAAAGCTAGGTCCCCTGACGTCACCCCAGAATACCTGGTAGTCCAGCATCAGGAGGACAGTACACCGTACATTCACATCTCCTGGCCGCTTCACCTGGAAGCCGTCCGTCTCCTGGGTAGTGGCGGTCCTGTGCCACTACAGAGAGGAAGATGTCAGGGGGTGCTCTCCCAGAGGAAGAGCTGGGGTGGGAGGGAAGAGCGTCTGTAATGACTAAATATTCAACTTCGATTACTGAGGCTATTGGGAAAGAGCAATAGCATGAGACATTTCTAAACACTGCATAAAGGTCTAGGATTACTGTCTGTACATAAACAGATTAACCTTTGATTCTGTCTAGGGTCACATTTAAATTAGTCTAAATTTTCAGCGGTAACTTTATCCACCAAATGGATAATACGTTATGTGCACAGTAAAAAAAAAACGTGGCCATCATTTCTTGAATACTTACTATGTTCAAGAGTCTTCTAAGACCTTTACCTGGGATTATCTCATTTAATTCCCACAACTTCCACATAAGATACACACAATTAAACTTATTTTACAGAAGAGCAAACTAATGCTTAGAAGAGCAGAGTAACTTGTCTAAGGTCAAACAACCACTAGGTGGTAGCGCTGTGATTTGAGGTCTGGCTTGTCTGATTCTAAAGCCCACTTTCTTAGCCACTATACTCTACTGCTATAAAGTCAAGTTAAATATATTTACAAACTTCTATTGATTCTATGACTTATTTCCCTTATTAGATGGTAAAGACCTTTCCATATCTCTTAGTGGTTGAGGTTAAGGGGCTGCAGCTACACTGGCAAAGAAAGGAGCAGGTTAAGTTTCCCTCAGGGAGCTGGACTGTCTCATTCTGTTTTGTCTGTACCCCAAAGAACACTGTCACTAATATGGTCTTCAGAACACTGTGTAACCAGCCTTTTAACAAAGGATTTCTGATGATGTGAGATGTGAATCTAAACAGAACAGGAGCCAAAAGGAAGTCCCCGATCTATCTATAGAGGTAACCTTGCAAGGACTAGAACCCTATTAGTTAACCACCTCAATTACAGCACCTGCTATCAGGAAAAACTGAGTAGGGTGTGGATAACTACATCTTACCATTATTAATAAGCAAGATGCAGAGATGACCTGGAATGTATAAGAGGCCTCCATTAGAATTTCCCTTGAGGCAGCACCCAGGATAGTAACATTAAAAAGGTGGGACAAGTCAGACTGCAAGAGCTCTTGGGTTCAAACAGTACCAGAACTAAACAGCTAGTGCCACCTGGAGGTCAACGTGCAAACTGCAAGGGCAGTACTTTATACCGGGGGGTAACCCTTTATACCTCCCCCTCTCCCTAAACATTAAAGTTGGGCTCCCAAGTCCATCATCCTCCAGTCATGGAGTCAAAAACCAGAGGACAGAACTACTCACTTCTACCAGATGGTTGTCTGGCCCATACAGGTCTTTGTCCAGTTCGATCACCAAGGACTTAAAAAAGGAAGAGAATTTCCTCTTTTGTTTGGTGGCATCATATTTGGACAAAGCTGACTAGAGGAGAGAGGGGAGAGATCATGTTAGAAAAGACCAGAAGAAATTCCTCAAGACAAAATCCCATTAAAGAGGAACCCACAACAGCAATGGGAAAAAAACTCAAAACTGTCTTCTGAATCTCTCTCAGAAGATGACAAGGTCGGTGTCTGGGGGTATTAAACCCATCAGGGTAGCCACAGAACCCTGAAGCAGCAGCCAATAACATGTACAGGGTCACTGACTTACCTACCTCATTTCCCTAAGGGAAATGAGGCAAGTTAAGCCAAACCATTGCCCATAACAAAGCGAGTCTGAACAGAGAAAAGTCTCACTCTAGAGGGGAAATGAATCACAGGCAGTAAGCAGCCAGAACAAAAACAGCTTTATTTGGATGGAATGACACCACCAGCAGATGGACTGGACCTATATAGAGAAGGAAGCTCTGACATGGAGCCCTGGTTCTCCTGCAAAAATGCATTCAAATTAGCTTGCTTATGAACAGCTAAAAATAGAGAGTGTAAGGAATTAAAGGTGAGCTTCTGGGGTAGGAAGTTTGGGGGCTAATACCTGTCAGCTGATGCTCCCCATGAAGCAAAGAAAACTATCCCTCTTCAACCGTGAGAGGTCTCCAATGCAAGCTGGGAAGGTGGCGATACCGCAGTGGGAATCAAGGACCCCAAGGACTCAGAGGGAAAAGCATGTCTTCAAGTGCTAAGTGCAAACTCACTTGATTTTTAAGAAACAAAAACCAAAAACTGAATAATCTGCAGACGCTAAGTCCAATGGCCAGCACCATCAGAAGGGAGGTAAACAACAAATCAAATCCCAGAACAATAAGGTTCTTGATATGATACCACAGCGAAGGCCAAGCTGTGGGAGCCAGACACAAAGAACCATTGTCTTTTAGTGCAGGGAACACAGTGACCCTCTCCCTGCTGTTCCCAACAGGAGCTGTGAGCACCGATCAGGCTTCCTGCCAACCAGACAACATTGCTTGCTCCCAGCAGCTCCCACCCTACACGTCAACCACAGTGGACTTTGAACTCACATCCTCCAGGAGCCGTCCTTCTACCCGAAGCTCCCAGGAAGCCACCGTCCCTTCCCCATCCTCGGCATCTGACTTAGCCGGATTGAAAGTGTTAGAAATGAAAATTCGCAGCTTCCGTTTTTGCTGAGGAAGGCAGAAACAGGATTGATGGTGGGGGGTCAGTGGTTTAATATTGAAGACAAGTTCTCCCCAAACCCCCAAATTACTCCTAATAGACTGGCTTACTATCTACCCATTCCCTGGGGTGGGTGGATACAGATTCCATCTAGAAGAATACAGGCCCCTGGCCTGAGTGCAAGTGCATACACGAGGATGCCAAACAGACAAAGTCATGCAAGGTGCCAGGTTCCCAAGGTAGCAGAGCAGTTATGGCAAAAACACGGACAGGGTATATTTCTGGTGCAAGAGATAGCAAAAGCCCCTCCCCCTTTGCTGTTCAGTTCTAATGTAATTCTCAGTTTGTAGGCGGAAGGGAGATGTAATTTAAATGCCAAGGAGAGCTGTGCTATGCCTTTGATTTCTCATCCTAAGCCCAGTGAAGGTTCCTGAGTCCTCTCCTTTGGCTCTCTGCCTAGCACTCTCCTGCATTACCTTGATGGGACGTTTCAAGGCCTCCTGGATATCTAGCCGTTTCCTCATGATAGTCTGGTCCAGCTTCCTTTCAAAAGCCAAGAGATCCATATAGGCCTGGGATTCTGGCACCAGTTCACGAATCTTAGGAACAGAAAGATATCATTGGGATCTAGAGCTGACCATTTCTATTTTCAAACTCAGCACATCCTCAAGAAGACCTACAGCCTGGACTCACCCTTTGAGGTAGAATTTTGTCAGCCATCTTCTTTTTCTTTGCACTGTTTGGAATAAATACTGTTATCAGGTTGGGACAGAACTAGCCAGAACATGAAGACAGACTGGTCAGCACCTCCGTTTACAGGAAAATGAAGGGACTGCAAAGCATCTCTCAAATCAAAGACACTCCGCCCATCCCCACCCCCACCCATGTGAGGCATTCTGAAGAATGAGCACCCATTTGCTGACATAGCACCACCACTTCTGGGTTCAGTCTCTCCCATCACCTGTGTCCTCACGGGCTTCCTCCCTCCTTCCCTCCCTCCCTCGCCCCAGAGTCATCTTACTTGTGATTTCGATTTTGGACCGCCTGCTGCTGGACCTGCTGTATCTGCTGAGGTGCAGGTCTCTTGCGGGACTGGTCCATCCCTGACTGGGCCAGGCCAGGTCGGACTGAAGGGTTCCCCCCATAGCCAGGGGGTCCCATGGAAGGTCCCTGAGGTGTCATTCGGCTGCCTGGCAGCATACCTGGTCTCTATAGAGAGGAGAGGACCCAGAGATGTCATGGCTTCCCTACAAACCCCACCAAGAAAAAGCGGGAGATGGCCAAAGTTCTTTGAATGAACAAGGCTGGGGGTGGGGTGGAGCACAATGGGAGGAGAGCCCTCTGTCTCCGAAATCCAAATAACTGGAGCTTCCTGTACTCCAGGTACAATTCCACAGGGAAATATAGCCCCAAAGCTAAGACATACCCAGATTATACTCAAATGCTCCCCAGTTTATTTTGTATCTGAGACACTGGGCATCTTCTCTAAGTCCCACATTTACTCAGATGGTACTGCCAGCTATCGTCTCCTTAGAAGCTGACCTCAATTTGCTTGCTACACTTTCTGTGTTCCTCCGGGCACTGGAACTGCCTTAGCCCTTTTGCACTCCAGTCCTCACATGCCCACCTTTGGCCCCACTTCAACCACGCTGTTTCTGTACCCTGACTCCCCAACGGAAACAATGCTCCCAGGAGCAGGTGGGGATGCTAACCGCCTCCCTTATCTTCCTCCGCACTGCCTCCCCTCACCCCTACTCAGGGCCCGAATCCCTCCCAGGAGAGTCCCTCCTACTTCTCCCCCACCCCTGTCAGTCCCAGGCCCCCGCTCGGCCCCGCCCCCAGCCCGCGCGCCCCTCCTCCTGCCCCACTCACCGGATAGGCCGCTCCGGGCATCGGGGAGCGGTACAGCCCTTGACCCGGCGCCGGGCCCATTCGCACAGGAGGTCCCGGAGTCCCACCCGGACCCAGGGCAGCTGCCGCGCCCGCCCCTCCTGAGGCTCCGGCGCCGCCGCTCGGAGCCACAGACTGGAAACCCGCCCGGGCCGCCATCTTCCCCCGAGCCGCTGCTGCAGCTGCACAAAGAACCGGAACCGGAACTCCCCCCGCCCCCCGCGCGCCCCCCGCGCGCCCCCCGCACGCCCGCTTGTCCGCCCGGCCGGCCGGCCGGCACGGGAGGCTCGGGGCAGCGAGACTGTGGGCTAGAGGGGGGCGACTAGCGGAAAAGGCGTGCTGACCACTCCCTCCCGCGTTCGCGCTCCGGCAGGGAAGACCATAGAGAAGAATTCCGGGATAGAGAGGCCCTGTGAGCGGGCGCCCCCAGGCCGACGGGAGGAAGACGAGGCCCTGGAAAGGGGGACCACACCTCAGCCTCAGTGCTCTGATGACGGGGGTGATGGGAGTAACTGCTTCGTGCAGGCGCAGGAGATTTAACTTTCCAAAGCGCTTTGTTTTTCGTTACCTTCTCTTACTGCTGTAAGCCTGGGCTGAAGAGGAGAATGCACTGTTTATTCCATTTTACAAACCGGAAAGCTGATCTTAGTGAATGACTTGGCAAAGATCGACCAACAAGTTAGCCGTAAAGCCAAAGCCCAGAATCCAGATCTTCTAGCTCATAGCCCAGGGCTCATTCCACAGATACAGTACCTCAGTAACTGCCTCACACCGCAATTTGAAACCAACTTTGTCGCTGACCTTTAAAACTTAACCTGCTTCCAGATTTTGTTTTTGGATTTTGACCCTGCCCCCCTCTAAAGAATCCTTTTGTGCTAGGACTTCTCTTTGGGACTTTTGTTGCCTTTCACCTCGCCCTTTTTTCCTGGCCAGTGATTGAAACCATTCCTGGTGTGATGGTCAGTCGGCCCCATCCCAGGAGGCTCAAGTCTTCTTACTTCTCCCTGATTGTTTGGCCCCAAGCTAAGCTCAGCTCTAGGCACTTCTTGGTAAGGCCTCAGTACTATTCAATTAAGAGAAGAACGACACTGAAGAGATAGTTGAAACCCAGTTTATTAGACCAGAGGCATGCGTCACCCATAGCCCTGCCTGCGGTTCCCCATCCGGTGCACACCCATGGGCCTTGCTCCTGCTTCCCTCTGGAGAGGTCTGATCTCCAAGGAACTTCTAGGAACCAAGAGTTCCCGAAAATCCCATAGCCTCACTCTGCAGCTCCAGACCAATGCACAGGTGACCTGCCAAAGTCCTGTTCTGGGGTTGGAGACCAAGAGACAGTTGGGTAGAGAAGACTTGGGAAGGGGTAGGGCTCTGGCCTAGGAGGAGTGCCTGGGGGAGGGGGCATGGTAGGCCCTCTACCTCATTCATTTTTCATTAAGATAGGAAGGGAGGGACAGAACAGCAGAGCTTTCAACTACCTCTCTAGTCCTGTATTTTCCCCATTACCAAACCATACCTCGCCAGAAAATCTAAGTGGTGGGCTTGGGTATCAGGTGAGGAAAGGAGGCTGGGCACCCAGAAGAAAGGAAAGGTCACTGACTGAGGACCCCAACTTCTGCTTGTCAGCACCCCACTGCTCCAGCTACAAGAGTCACCAATCCACAGCTCCCCTTGTCTCTGATACCCTTGGCTTAGTGTGCAGAGCAGATCTCCATTCCCTGGGTGGGGGCTCTGTCTGTAGCTGCCCCTTCCCTGGGGAGGCCACAGTCAGCCAGGCAAAGGGCATTGGGATGGTGGAACAGGGGAGGGATTGTTAAGGCTACAGGGAGGGCATAGGGTGCCCGGGGTTGGGGGGAGAGGGTGAGGCCAGAAAGAGGCAGAGCTTGTGATTCACAGCTTCCTTTATGTCGCCACCGAGACAGTGCGAAGGTTACAATGCGCGTGTCGTCTCCTTGTGCTTCTCAGAGGGATGTGTGTACACAGTACAGACAGCAGGGGAGAGAGTCCAACCCTTTATACAGGCGAAGGCATTCAGAGACCAGGGAGGGAGTGGGGACACAGAAAGGGGGACTCTGGGTGGGAGGATGGTTCTTAGAGACAAGAGGGGATGGGGTCGAGACAGACAGAGCTCGGGGAAAGTATATACAGAGATAATAGCAATATAGAGTCTGTATCATATAGAAATAGAAAATGCAGATGAGGTTGTTGAGAGAAGCAAATGAAGTTGGGGAAGAGGACTTGGGAGAGTTCCATAAGAAAATTTATGGATGTGGCCCTCTGCAGGGGCCCCTGGGAGAGGGACCAGTGAGGTTAGGCACCAGTGCCCCTCTCCCTGAGCTGGGAGCCAACCAGCTGGATCTTTCATGGGATGGTAGAGGAGTGCTACCTCTTGGGATTTCTCTCCAGCCGTTCTGGGGTGGGGGGCAACTTATGGGTATCAGGATGTGGCCTACAGCACCAGGGCCACATCTTCTCCCCATCATCCACTTCTTCAAGGGATACCCCACCCCCAACTCCCTGGAGACTTCACATGTAAGGGGGTGGGGATGGGGACTAGGGTCTTCGTTCCTGCCTGGAGACTTGGGGTGGGGGGGGTCACTGGGCTGAGAGGGTCTCTTAAGGCTGGGGAAGCCCCCCCCCACTAGCCCTCCCCTTCAAGGTACATTCTCTGGTTTGGGGCCAAATTCCAGACCCCAAGGATCCCCTCCACCCCCCACTGGGAGGGGCTTTGGTGACTGGTGGCAGCAGAATGTAGGTGGACACTCAGATGACAGACAGCCAGACAGACAGAATTCAGGCTGGGAGCTGGGGGAGGCAGCATGGAGCAGAGAGGGGCGGCCTGAGGTCACCTGCCCCATTCTCTCTTTTTAGTTAAGTTTAGTTTGTTGTTGTTGTTGTTGTTTTAGATTAGTTTTGGTAAAAATAAAAAGAATGGGATAGAGGCAGGGAGAGGGCTCTGTGGCCAAGATCCCTTCCTCACCATAGACAAGAGGGAAGGACTGCCCAGGAGTGGGGGTCTACCTTGGGAGGGGGGAGGGCGTCCCCAGGGCAGATGTGGGGGGGCACGGCCGAGGGCCCCCTTGCTGTCCTAGCCCTTCCCACCTAGGCCTTTGGTACAGTGGCCTGCGGGGCTCAGCAGGTAAAGTCCTCAAAAGTGCCTCGGGCCGGATGGTGAGGTAGGATGTTGGCAGCATACGTCATCCCGGCGGGGTGGCCCCGGAGGCTCTCACACGGGTTCTAGGGGAACGGCACAGGACAGGGACTGGTTATCAGAAGGGTCACAGGTGGTCCTGGGGTGTGGGGGAGTCAGAGGCAGAGGAGAAAAGGTGGTAAGGCGGGGGGGCGGGGGGGGGGGGGGGAGGGGGGTGGGCCTGGGGGGGAAGGGGCGGGGCCGGAGGGCACCTCTCTCGCTCCCTCACATGTCTTTTGACGTCATCCAGGCTAAGGGCCACACCCTTGTCCGCACTGCTCCTTTTGGCCTCCTTCTGGCACTTTCCTCTTCTGCACAGCTTGTGCTTGATGACCTGGGACAGAGGTGGGGTGGTGAGTGGTTGGGCGGGCTGGAACCCCGCCCCGCCCGTGACCCCACCCCAACGCCCCACCGCCGCTTACCTCATAGGCGTAGTCAAAGAGCTCCAGTACCGTGAGGATGCTGGCCCCAATGAACAGCCCCATCTGGCCCCCAATGTCACCTGCAGGGGGGCACGGGGAGGTCAGTGGTGTCAGGACACCTGGAAGCAGCAGAGCTCACTGGGACAGGGGCAGGCAAGTCGTATTTGCAAAAAGATCGACAGCCTTTGTACAGAAGGAGCACAAAGCAATTCTGGTAGGGTTCTTACATTCTTCTCTATGTTTTTCTGCATTTTTCTACTTTCCTAAAGTGAACAGATATTATTCAGAAAACATAAAATACCCCAACACTCATTCTCTGGGTAAATTTTCAAAGGCTTATGAAATAGTCCCCCATTCATGCCCACAGGCCTGTCTCTTCCACTTTGCCCTAAGAGAAGGTTCAGTCCCCTCCTCCCACTACATACCAAGACAACAGTGTTTGGGGAAAGGCCCTGGGTGGGGGGTCGGGGGGATGGCAGGGGAGGAAGGAACTTGTGGGACAGAGGTGGGCAGCCTGCTTTGGGTGGTAGGGTGTTGCACCATGCCCATGGCATGGGAAGGGGACAGTGCCATGAGCAGCTCACCCAGGAGCCCTGCAATTTCATAGGCCTTCTTCTGCTCAATAGTCTCATAGTTGAGGACTTCAAAGAAAATGTCCAGCACCAGGATGTTCTCCCTGCAAAGGGGTTGGGGGAGGAGACCTAGGTTCAGGTCACATCTCTGTCCCTCACTGGCTAGGTGACCTTAGCAAGTTACCCTCTCTGAATCTGTCTCCGCATCCATAAAATGAGATGTTGATGGGGGTACCGGCCTTGTAGAATTGTCGTGAGGATCAAATGTGATGGCAAAAACAAAAAGACGCTCTGCACACTGGCAGGCGTGGAGTGATCCCAGTTATAGCAGTGAAAATGAAGATACAGAATGAAGCGATGAGGAAAGAGAAGTGCTTGCTTTGCTTGTTCCAACTTGATCTGCCCTCCATGCCCACCCGTCTCTTTGGTTGTCTTCCCCTTGTCATCTTCATCTCCTCCTGTCTGCCGGCCCCTCAAAGCCCACTCATACCCTTTACAGTCCCAGCCCAAGGGCCCTGCCCTGCACAATCAGAGCCCTTACCCTATGTACTGCTCAGACTTGTTGAACTTCTTGGCCAGGTACTTGGCTGATGCTTTGCTGGGGATCTTGACCATGGACAGCTCCTTGCCGTAGCGGGTTAGGTTGCAGGGCATTTCACACACACAGTACTCCTGGTCCTTCTCCACCAGGAAGTCTGTGCCCGACCAGGCGAGAGGCACCAGCTGAGTGGTGCCCTTCGGCCAGCACCTTCCTAACATGAACATTCTGGCCCTGTCCAAAGGAAGCCTGGGCCCCTTTCTCTTTTTCTGACCTGTCGTTCACCTCAGCCCTGTGCCCACCTTGTGCTCCCCATGGGTATTTCTCAGTCCTGTATCTCATTGCCTCAGGGCCCTCGGGGGTCAAGCAGCCGAGATGCTGATGAGAGAGGGGGAGGGCCCCTCCCAGGTACTCCTGCTGATTTTTCAGAGGGGCCTTTAGAGATGCTATTCCCAGCTTTGCTAAAGTCAGACACAAGAGAGTTCAAGTGAAGCCTGATCCAGGAGTTATTTGAAGCTTCTAGGAACTTGGTCTGAAACCCCTATGCATGTGGCTCCTTCCTTCCCCCAGACTGCCCCGAGACAGGGGTGCTCACCCAGAGCAGGATCCGCACACTCCTTGTACTGTTCTGGAGTGCAGTATGGGGCATCCCCTAACAGAGGAGAAAAGACAGTGGTACAGGATGGAGATTAAAGGGTCTTGTGATGATGGTGGTACCAAGAGTCTAGAAACTGGAAGATGGGAGTGGGCTGGAGGGCAGGACTAGCTAGCCCCCAGTGTGTTCTGCAGGTGACCCACCCCACAGTCCATCCCTCCTAGACCCCTTCCCGCACGTTTCTGTGGGTACAGGCAGGAATTGAGGTGAGAGGGACAAGAGTTTTAGGAGTATGGGATGGGGTTAGAACTGGGCTGGGGAGAAGGCATTTAATCTTGCTTCCGTGTTGGCAGGAGGTTGATATGCGTGGGGAGCTGGTGAGGGGCAGTGCAGTGCAGGCTGAGGGGCCCCAAGATCGTGTTTGGAGCTTTGGGGCCTGACCTGGCATGTGCACCATGCGACAGTTACAGTTCTCCACCAGGTAGCGTGTCTCACAGTCGATGCGGCAGGCAGTAATGCTGTAGGAGTCGAAGAAATCCGAGTCCATGGTAACAGCTTTGCAGGTGCCCCAGGGCGGGGGCAGGTAGATGAGCTGCTGGGAGAGCCGGGGAGCTGGGGGGTGTGGGGACTTCTCCCCGAGTCACCTCGATGGACTTCTCTGATAAGACGCAGAACTCGGGAGTCCTGCTCCCTGTCCCTCCGCAGACTGTGAGGGTCTCAGAGTTTATACAGCACTCCTGTTCATTCATGCTGCTCAATCGTCAGATCGGTACCCAGGCCCTAGCTCACCCGTCCCTCCTGTATTGATTACCCACCACTCCATCTCGATCCCTCAACACCCCACCCTGGGACCAGCCTCTTGTGGCCCTCTCACCCGCTGCTCCTGGCAGGACACAAAGGTCTGGAACCCCGGGGCCACACCAAAGCCCAGCTGGTCGATGAAGGGAGGTTCATCCTGACTGTGGATCTGCACTTTGATGCCCGCTTCGAAGGACGTCTCATCTATGGGAATGAGGGGCAGGGGGTGTATTGGGAGGGCTTCTGACTCCCTAACCTCCTTCAGAGCTGGGGCCATGCTTCCTCTCCTAGGGATAAGCACAGTGCACACTGGGACACTGGGGGAGGCGTTAATCTATAGGGGCCCTGGCCCATCCCCAGCCTCCTTTCGGGTTTGCTAGCTCCATGCTGCCCTGATGAACCTTGCATCCTACATACTTTTCTTACCTGGCTTCGGCTATGCATCTTGGTGTTTCAAATTCTTTCCCAGACACTCTCTATTTCTCTCCCTCCTTGTCTCCCTTCTCCCTAGCTCTCTCAGCCCCAAGGTCCCCTGAGACCAGACTGACGGCAGGCAGCCCAAGAAGAGAGGGAGTTATTTATAGAGAGAGCGACGACCACTGATGGAAAGGGATGGCTGGTTACCTTGGAGAGTAACTGAGCCAGGAAGGGAGAGCTAGAGAACTGTGAGGGTGGCAGGCAGGTAGAGTCGGAGATGGAGATGGCAAGATGCTGGGAGGAAGGGAGGAGAGCCCGAGTCCTGCCTCAGGTCCCACAGTGGATCTCAGGAGTCCCCTGGTGGAAGCTGATGGCTAGGGCCATGGGAAGGGGCCCCTGAGAGAAGTGACATACCAGTCTCTCCCCATACAGGCAGGTACTCGTCCTGCTGGATGTCCAGCATGATCTCCAGCCCATTGCCAGTCCCACCCTTCATGGTCTTCAGTCGTGGACGCCCATCTCGGCCCGAGTTGAATGTGTAGCACTTGCCATACCGTGTGAAGACCTGGCGAGGGCAGAGTGAAGAGCCTGAGAGTCCTGCCAGCACCCCCTACTTACCAAGGGCTGTCCCCAGACCCCTCCGCTGCTGGAATCTCAACACGCTTCAGGAACAGTCCCTTCTGTGCAGCCCATTCTCCATTTGTCCTCCCTCCCGTTCATTCTCTGCCCTTCTTTGCCCTGATACGGGCCCCGGGAAAGCTGATCTCTGTGGGGTGCACTGCCCGTGTTCTTCTGCCACTTGGACAGGCTTTGGGTTGGGTTGGCCAATGCAAGCTATCAGTGAGGGATCAGAGGGCAGAAGGAGGGAGCTCTCGATCAGGGTGTGAATCCTTCCCCACCCCTCACCCCTCTGAGAATGCTCTGGCAGTGGTTTCGATCCTCTGAGACTATAGATCCTGCCAGGAGGGCTCCCTGCAAAGCACTGCTGTTCCCCTGTGCCCCTTTAGCCTGTTGGTGACAATTTCCCACTATCACCAGGTGCCTCAGGCCCCTTCAGGCAGAGTTTCCTTCACTCTGCCCACAACTCTATAAACAGTCCCCTTGTTCGAGTCTTTTCAATTAAACTATCTGAGTGGCAGTCTTCTTCCTGCTGGGACCCTGACATACACACCTCCATCACCAGGATCCCGTCACTGCCATACTCCCGGTCCCTCCTTGGGACCTTCTCTTCAGGCCCAAGCTCCCAGGGCCTCCTGAGATCTTCTCTTCTCCTGGATTTTGCCCTGGGCATCTGAAATTCTGCTCTCCCCAAGGTCCTTCCCCCAAACCAAGCTAAGCGTTTTCGTTTTCTCCAGCCATTAGCCCCTTGTGTCTATCATTGTCCTGTCATCACCAGAACCTGAGAGCAGACCCAGTTGCCATCGCAAGGACCATGCTCACCCAAGCCCAGCTTTGGTACTGGATTTGGTCCTGAGCCTCCAGGGCAAGGAACACTTAGCAATGCTTGTGCAGAACCAAGAGGACCTCAGAGGAGCTCTCTGCCCTGGGGGCAGTCTTCCCACTCCAGGCCTCGGAACAGCCCTTATCACGGCTCTGATGACACAGCCACAGAGGGAAGAGCGAACCAATTCTTTACAGCCCTCTCCCCACAGTTTCTTGGAATGTTTCCAGGTTCCCACACATGGGGTGAGTGTGCTTTTCCTACAGCCTCATGGTGACAAAGTCCACGAAGTGAGTCAGAAGGTAAGGGACAGACATAGCCCAGAGAAAGAGAGACAGCGTCAGGCCAGACCAGAGCGGTCAGTGGTGTGGGGGGTACTAGTCCCCTTCTCCCTTCCTAGAACAACCTCCACCCCCATCCAGAAAAGAAAAGGCAAAGTCCACAGATGAGGTAGAGAGGGAACTCCCACGACTCCTAACCCCCCAGCCCGCTATGAGGTTTTGTGGCATTCTGTCACAGGCTCCAGACACACACCCATGCCTACCCTCCATCTGGGGGCGTGAGGGACTCCAGGGTGGCTGAAAACGACAGCCTTGCTAGGGCTGAGCTGTGCTGCGGACCTGCGGACTGCTGCTGCCACCTGGTGGTTCTATGCGAGAAGTGTCTGCTCTACCCTTAGGTCCAGAGGAAGCCAGGTTGACTCCTTCATTTTATCCCATGTTCCTCTATTTCCTGGCCTGCCTGAGGTCCAGTGGCCCAAACCTCCAGATCCCTGTCTGCAGTTGGTCCACAACGCACTTATATGATGACACCCACCTGCTCCTGCGCCAGGGCGGAAGTGGGGGATGGGGGCGGGTAGGTGTGTGGGAAAAGAAGGCCTGGCATCTGGCACCTGGAGGGGGTAGAAGAGTCAGGCCAGACAGAACTGGAAGCTGAACTGGGGAGGGGATGGGGTGCCACTTGGTCTCTCAGCAAGGAAGACCCTAGACTCCAGAGTGGGAGGGCAAGCAGGAGGCTGACTCCCCATCGAGGGCTTCCCCAGGGAAGAGGATCCCTGATCACCTAGAGCTGCAGGGAGGGGAAGATTTAGAGGAAGACTTGTTATTCTCCCTCAGAGAGACAGACAGACGGACACACACACACACACACACACACACACACACACACACACACTGTAGGAGGAGCACTGAAAGACCAAGTGAGGATGCACTCAAGTCCCTGCTGTGGTCACTACTGAGAAGGGGCGTGGTGGGGTGGAGTCGGGGACTGTCCTCACCCTCCCCCTCCCTTCCACACCCTTCTCCTGCACCTCCGGAGACCAGGTGACACCTGCCCCAGCTCCAGTCCAGGGGTCATAGTCAAAATTGTTAAGGCCAGGTGTGGGTCCCCACCATCAGATCAAAGGTTGACCTCAAAGACAGAGTAAGGTCCTAGGCTCTTCTGGATCACAGGGAGGTCTGGGGAAGGGCTGGAGATGCTGGAGAATATTCAGGAAGACACCAGGGGCCTCGGGGCAGCAACTAATTACCAACCAGTACAGATAGATATCCAGATTCTAACAGGAAGAGCAGTACTGGTACAGATCCAAAAATAGCAGCCCAGTTGCAGATCCTGGGGCTCCCAGGGCAAGCTCTCTGGCCAGGCCTCCCTGAGGCATGTCAGAAGGGGTGGGGGGGGTGGCCCAGGTGAAGTGGGGGAGGGGCAGGATGGCCACCAGCCCCCAGCCCCGGCCGGGGATGCTCAGGGTGAGCCATGGCAGACACCCCTGCGGGACGGTGCCAGGCGTGGGCCCCCACTCACCACCGAGAAGTTGTGAGGGCCACAGGGCCCCCCGCAGTAGGAGCAATAGAGCAGCATGTCCTCCAGCCGGTGGCAGGAGCGATTGTAGAAGCGGTGCAGGTTAAAGGGCTCCCCAGAGAAGGCCTCGGGCCCCGGTGGGGCGAGGGGCACCCCAGGGTCATCACTTTCATCCAGCCCCAGCATGGGGGCCAGGTAGAGCAAGTCGGGGTAGCTGAGCTGGGACAGGCGCACGGCATTGGTGTTGCAGAGGGTGACGGCCGGGAAGGCCAGCTCCGTGGTGGCCACCTCGTCCAGCAGAGTCACGTGCGGGTAGCTGAGGTAATAGGCGACGCGGTCCCCCACCTGGCACAAGAAGGCACCCAGGGCCAGGACAAAGGCCACTGCCCACAGGGCCTGCCTCAGCCCTGGACCCTCCTCCACGAAGATGTGGCTGGCGCCGTGCAGGGTGCAGCTGTTGGCAAAGGCCACCAAATCCATGGGCGAATCCCCCTCTCTAGGCTCCTTCCTCACTGCCTCCTCTTCCTTCTCTTCTTCCTCCTCTTCTGATTCTGAGTTGTCCCACTGTTGCTGCCGCTGCCGCTGCCGCTGGTGGGGACCCCAAACATCTCCCAAGGGCCCTGGGCCCTCCTCTCCAGAGGAGAAGGACACAGAGCAGAAGATCTGGATGGGCATCTTCTTCAGAGGCTTCCTGGCCCCTGGGGGATTGGCAGGAGAAGGGAGAAGCAGACAGGATCTCGGGCAGGATCTGGCAGGGCCAGCCACCCAGCCTGAGTCGGCCGGGTCCCGGCAGCCCGGCCAGCCGGCTGTTCTCCCTCGCCCGGGCCTCGGTGGCGGTGTGGCGGAGGTGGGGCGGGGCGTGGAGAGGAGGACCTGCCTGCCCAGCCCGGAGAGGGGAGGGGGAGGGCAGGCGTCTGGGCTGATGAATAATGGATGGCAGTGGGAAAGGGAGGCAGATGGAGAGGAGGGGGGCCAGAGCCCCTTTCCGGTAACCAGCTCCAGCAGGACAGAGAGGGTGGAAGATAGTGGAAACCATGGAAAAGCCTCAGGGCTCCAGGTGAGATGGGCCCTAGCAGATGCCTCTGCTCCCACAGCCCGGAGCAACAGTCCCTGCCCCTCCCTCATGACATTCAAGCCTCCCTGTCACCCTCTCATCTACTCCTCAGCATTTCCTTCGGTCTTCCTACCCCAATTCTGGGTCCTCACCCCCATTCTCACCTGGTGCAGCCGTTCCCCTGAGACCCTGGAGCTCCGTACTCTCTCAGACCTCTAATTCCTCCTTGACTCCCCCTGACTCATAATCTCCCCCCTTCCAGTTATTTCATTGACCACACCCCCACCTTCTCCCAATACACTCCTAAGACCCCAGTTCCCTTTCAGTCACTGCCATGACCCCAATTTACTCTGTTACTTCCTGAACCCTTAATTCCCCTGCAATCATTCATTGCCTTGACCTCCAATTTCCCTCCAGCCAGTCCTTGACCCCATTTATCCTCCCCTCCCTCCCCTGACCCTGGCTGAGCTTCAAGTCAGCACCCTCCCCCATGCTGAGCTGCACTTAGGTCACTCTCCCCTCCTCCACCTTTCCCTTCTGTGGCTTGGGGGGCAGCCCAGGTTCCATTAGCAGAGGTCTCTCACTGACCACAGACTCATTTATGGCCAGTTCCCGGCACCAGGGGGGAGGCACCCTGTCTCTTGCAGCTGAAAAGCTTCCTGGCAGATCACCACTCCCCTCCCAGCTTGCCCACCCCTCACTGGTCCAGGAGAGGAGTTCGAGGAATCCTTTCTGGTAGGTGGAAGAAATTGAGATCAGAGCAATCTGCTAGGTCAGGTGGAGAGTGTCAGGAACCAACCTGGGATGCCCCCCAAAACCCTCATCCCTTGCCCTTCTGAGGGTCCCCTTGCCCCCAGTTTACCATTCTCTGACCCCGGGTCCCTGGCCCCTCTGTGCTCTGGTTACTCAGGGCCACTGACTGAGGAACTTGAGCCACCAGTCAAGTCTCCAGGGCCTAGAAGGTGACCTGAGGGGAGGAGTGTAAGGGAGGGAGGGAGGGAGGGGGAGCATGTTAACCCTTCCTCTGCAGGGCCAGAGACAAAGCAGCGGGGGTCAGATGAGTCTACTTGGGCCTTGTGATTCCTTAACCATCCCACAGCCCCAGGCCCCCTTCCCCTCCTCTTCCCCTCTCCCCCCCTGCTCCTACACCTCTCCCCTTCTCCATTTGCACGCGGGGACCCTGGAGTATGTTGGGGATGGGGGGCAAGACGCCAAGTCGCAGCAGAACTGACTGATGTGGGACCTTTGGCCTCAACTTTGCTGCCAGGGACACAGAGGCCCCAAAAGAAGAGCAGCCTTTGAGATCTGGCTCCTCTCCATCCTTTCCCCATTGTCCTCAGACTGGCCTCCACCTCTTTTGCCTAAACATTGGCCTTCCAACTGGTCTCCCTAACTCCCTGCCTCCCCACAGTTTCTCCCCACCTTATATAATTCTGTATGTAATTCTGACGGTTCTCCAGCCCGGAGACCTTCTTCACTCCTTAGTGCCTCTTGGTGAAACCACCCCCATCTCAGGTAAAGTTATGTGCGGCCCTTGCAACTTACCTTCCAGCCTCCCTTCCCCACCCCTCCACAGCAGTGTAGCCTCCAGCCACCATGCCCTTCTCCCATTCTGCAGACCCGCTAGGCTCATCCACAGCTCCATGCCTTCCCTGGGCTCCATCTGAAGAATTTCTCCTCATTTTTCAAGACCTTGCTCACACATTACCTCACCCGAGAAGCCTTCCCTGACTGCACAGGGCATAGTGAGTACCCACCCAGGAAACAGAATGAAGGGCCCAATTCTGCTCAAGCCCCTTCAGGCATGAGTAGTAACCAATAGCCCCTTGGGGACAGAGACTATGAGAATGAAAGAGCAAGACGCAGGGACCATGTGAGGAAACCAGAACCAAGGAAGACCAGGAACACCCACGGCAACCAGCGAGGTCACTGCAGAGATGAGGAGAGAGATAAACCCTCACCCCACCTCCAGCTGTTGTCCTCAGGCTTCTTCTGCATGAACTAAGAGGTTCCTTTTATGTTTCCTGCCCTGTGTGCATTTGCTTCCCCACTAGCAGACCTCAGCTCTCAGAGAGCTCTGCACGTCATCAGGCTGTGCAGAGGTTAAGTTCTAGGCCTGGATTGGGGGTGGGGAGGCTGCAGCTACCCATGTGTTCCATACCCACTAGAGGGCACTGTTCCTCTCCTTCAGACTTCCTGGAAGGGGAAGCGATTAGACTTCCAGAGGGAAGAAACTAAGGCAGGGGACACTTCCACCACGCGGCTTCACTAGACAGAAGGACATGCACACACAGAGAAGCTTCAGAGGACAGCGCATCCAGGATGGCAGGGCCCGTCTTCCCCCACACCAACACAAAAACCCACACTGCACACCTACACATCACCACACACAGCTCCCTTGTGGGGCAACACACACACACACACACACACACACACACACACACACGCCCCCCCAACCGCAGTTCCTCCCTCCTCTAACATCCTCTCCCGCCTCATCTTGTTCCAGTAGACCAATCCAAACTCTTCACAGTAATGGGAGGTAAGGAGAGTCTCAAGCATCACATGCAGACCTGCAAGCACACAGAGGCCCCAGGAGAAGTGGCCGAGCAGACACCCATGCAGGACAACATCCACTTCTGAATCCTCTGTCCAAGGAGGCAAGTCTTCCCCGGGTCAATCCCTACCCAGTACCACTCTCAAACTGTGTGTGGCAACTCAGTGGTTTCTGACTTTCTCCGCATCTCTTTCTAAACACACCCCCGCACCCCCCGCCTCACTGCTGCCAACATCTGTAGAATGTTTCATGCTTTTCAGTGGCTATCTCATGGGATCCTTATACAACCTACTGAAATAAGCAGGTTTGAGTAACCTCACCCCCATTTGACAAATGAGGAAACTGAGGCACAGTGACCTGTTCAAGTTTCATGGAGAGCAAGTGGTAGGCATGAGATTAGAATTAGATCTCCCCTTGCAAATTCCTCCCTCCTTTATTCTTTCATTTATTAATCAACTATTTCCTGAGTGTCTATGTGCTGAGGACACATGAAGAATATACAATGAACCGGGATCCTGCCCTTGTGGAGCTTACTGTCTAATGGGGAAGACAGACACCATTTTCTAAAATTTGCACAAGTGAATATTTAATTGCAAGTCATGATAAGTGCTATGAAAAGATAATTTGGCTCTATGGGAGGGAGTGACAGAAGGATCTGACCCACCCTAGGGAATCAAAGCAGGTTTCTCTGAGGAAGTGATGCTTGACTTGTGATCTAAAAAATAAGGAGAATAAGGAGGAGTAATTAGGTCTGTATGAGGTGGGGTGGGGGAAGAATATTCCAGAGGGCAGAGTCATGCAAAGGCCCTGAAGACCCCAGGTGGGTTGGGTGGAGAGCTCAGAGGAGGAGAATATAGCTGGAGAGCCAGAGTGGGGTAAGAACAGGCTGGATAAACAGGCAGGACCCAGACCCTTCCAGGGCCTTGAAGGTCACAGCAAAGATTCTGGTCCAAGGACAATGGGAGGTGTGCCATGGAAGGGTTTCAAGTGATCGGAGCAGTGTTTTGAAGAGACAGCTTGGGAACAGCCAGAGGAGGTGCTGGAAGACCTGTCAGGAAACCATCGCGGGTGTAGGTGAGACAGGGAGTGGACCAGCTTGGAATGGGGTGATAGGGTGGAGATGTTTAGGAGCCAAGAGTGGCAGATCCCGTTAAGGGAGGTGAAGGAGATGGAATGTAGGGATGCTTGCTAGTTTGCATAAGAGGCTGAATGGTGGGGTGGCTCACTAGGCCAGGAACACAAGGAAAGGACCAGTTTGGGAGATAAGATGATGAATTTGGCTTTGCGCATGCTGGGTTTTTCGAGCCTCAGGGACATCCAAGTGGAGATGTGAAGGGGGAGATTGGCCACCGGCGCAGAGTCTGGGAGGAAAGAGCTGGATGGAAGCACACATCTGGCCTGCCAGGGTCTAGATGCTGACTAGAGTCATGAGTGAAGACAAGACAGCCCAAGGATAGAAAGTCGAAGGGAAGGAAGGAAGGGAGGGAGGGAGGGAGGGAGGGAAAGAGATCAAGCTTGATTTGTCAATATCCACCAAAGCCAAACAGAATCCCAACCTGTGACTTAACCACAGCCCCTAGTTATATACCCAAAATATGAGTACATAGGACAACCAGAAAACATAAGCAAGAATGTTCATGATAGCTTTATTTATAACAGCCAAAAAACTAGTAACAATCCAAATGTCTAGCAAGAGTAGAACGGACAAATACATTTTGGTGTATTTATATAATGAGATACTACACAGCATTGACAAAGTGCTAACTACCACCACACAGAATGAGACAATCTCAAAGACAAAATCCTAAGCAAAAGAAGACAGGCACAAAAGTGTGCATACTGTATGGAGGGTACTATACTCTAGGAACTTCAAAACAGGTGGAACTTATCTGTACTGACAGAAGTCAGAATAATGGTTAACTCTTGTGGGGTAGTATTGACCGGGAAGGGGCCCAAAGGAAATTTCTGGGGTGTTGGAAATGTTTCACACTTTTTTTTTCTTTTTTGAGAGAGAGAGAGTGTGCGATGAGCGGGGTTGAGGGGAGGGGCAGAGGGAGAGAGAGAATC